AATTTAAAATTATTTTATCTAAGGGGAAGTTTAAAGATTAGAAACCGATATATAGGCTAGGAAGTAAAGAATTTTAATTAATTTACTATTTTATACGAAAAGAACCAAGTGGATATTATTATTCCTTTCGAAGGGAAGAGAAAAATAAAAAGGATTATATATTATTATAATATTAAAAAATATTCCTTATAGATTTTATTTACTATTTCCCTATGTATTATTAAATTTATTTTATTTTTAATTAGTAATATACAAAAAATTAAAAAGAAAAATTAAAATGTTTGAAGATATTTAAAATAACTACCCCTACTACCCCTAGAAAAAAATTTTTTACGTATTTCCTATACTAAAATTCCTATCCCAAAATACCGCGCAAATATATTAATTGCTTTATCGACTTTTATATATTAGAGGAATCTAACTTTAGACCCTTAATACGCAACTCCCTTTCCTATCGAAGATATTTAACTTAAGGCTTAATTTTACCCTTAAAGAATAGTCTAGTATAAAATTATGAAGGAGGAATATTAATTATAATTTAAACCTCCTAATTATTGTATTATTTAACTTTAAATTTACTAGAATTATTTACTTTAGAAATGAGCTCTAAAAAATAGAATTTATAGTATACTTTTTAACTATTCTATAATATTATATATAATTACTATAAATACTATCCTTAAAATTAGGTAATAAAAGTAAACGATATTCTATAAAAGGATTTATAATTATAGCCCATTTAAACTCATTGGAGGTACTGCGGAATATTAATACGTATTCTTTTTGGTACATTGAAATATAATAGCTATACTATAGCGAATTACTAGTAAAATTAGTAGAGAACTAATTAATTAAACGGATATACGTATTTTTTACTAAAGATCTGAATAATTAGTACTTTTAACCGTTTATCTTATTGAATTATATAATAGGTATAGCGACCAAAAGGCCAATTACCCTTAATATTAATTTAAATTAAATTTAATACTATATTAGGGGAAACTATTATTTATTTAATTTAATTTAAAAATTGTCCTTTAGCCTTAAAACCGCTAAATATTTATAAAAATGCTTCCTAACGGTTAAGGAAGTCCTATAAAAAAATAAAATACAATATTTTAAAAGGGTAAAATATAGTATAGACTCTTAAATAAATAATAATTAATTTTATACCCTTTATTAGCGTATAAGTTCCCTAAATAGCATCTATAAGTAAAAGTCCTAGTTTAATCTATTACTAGATTTGTAAATAGAGAAATTTATAAATTTTAGGGCGGTTATTATATTGAATTTAGTAAGAAATAAAATAGGGATAGATTGGCCTAAAAATATTATTATACTATAGCCGATAAATATCATTCTTATAGACGTTCTAACGAATATTAATTAATTAATTAATAGTAACGGGAAGAAGAAATTATATAGGATTTACGCATCTTTAAAATTGATTAGAGTTATAAGTAAATATTTTAATAGTAGGTATTTAATATAAAAAAAAGAAAATTAATAGAATAATAGGGAATTAATTGGAAAAGGAAGGAGGTAAAAAGGGAAATCCGACCGAGGGAAATAGGTTTTTATACTTTAATAATAAATTATTATTAATATTTGATTTATTATTTATTATTTTAGGAGAAGGTAATTGTTTAGAGAAAGTTTATTATTTTAAGTAGCTATTAAAGTTATTATAACCGTCGGAAAAAAAAGAGATAAAAAATTCCTATTACTTTAAACCTTTATAATTTACTACCTTTACCGCCTGAGTATTCGCTTTGAAAGAAAGGATAAATTAATTATATTAGAGGTAAATACTACGAAGTAAAGTATTATATTATTAGCTAAGTAAATAGTAGCTTTAAGAAAATACTTCTAATATTTGAATTTAATAGTTGGATAATTTATAAATTATTTATATAATACCCTCTTTCCCTAGCCTTTTCCCTACCTTCCTTTTCTTCTCCTTATAATAATAATATTAAAAAATTTAAAAAACTTTTAAAACTTTTTCTTTTCTATTAAAGTAATTCTAATCTAATATAACTTATATTGTTAATTCTTTTACTATATACAATTTAATACGTTTTAAAATATTAGATATTAATTTTAATTTTTTCTTCCTCCAATGCTTATAAATTAGTTATTCGCAATATTACTTTATTAATATATCTTCTAATAACCGTACTTCTTCCTACAATAAGGTTTAAACTACTTTAAATAATAATAATATAGGTAGATCCAATAAGGTTAAAAGTAAAAAATTTTAAATTATTTTAAACCTAATTAAAGTAATAAAATTTAATAATATTAATAATAAACAACCCTAATAACCTACTCCTATTCGTAGCCTTCAACTTTTACAAGGGTATAGTAGAGTGCCGATCTTTAATTAATTTAATAAATGAATAATTACACTATTATTAAACTTCCAATTCAAATGGACTTAGAAAGCTTTTAGAATAATGTTTAATTAGAATATTATTAATTAAATACTTCGATTAAATATTAATACTATACTTAAATTATTAAAGACTATATTCCAAGACTTTATTAATTAGTACGTTTAGGACTATTAAAGACCCTTCCCTAGCTTATTAAAAATAATTAATAAATAGTTGAATATTATAAGAATAAATTAATTATATAGTTGGATATTAAAGTATAATAATAAATATAGGGTTTATGAAGTATATCTTAGCCCCCCTTAAAATCCGAAATTAAAGAATAAGTATATACCTTTTAATTATCCCTAGTTAAGTAGTACTTAATTAAATTAGCATTTTAATTTTAATTTACTTTATAACGAATTAGATACCGACGAATTATTTAGTAAATTTTTCCGCTTTAAATTATAATTTAATTAAATAAGTACTTTCCTACTAAATAAAAATAGATTTTATAATTAGAAGCGATTTATAATACGCCTAGCCAACCTTTAGTACAATATCGACAAATATACCTTTACCTATATTAACAATCTAATTACTTTACTTCTATAAGTAACTAGAAAGGGGTTAAAAATAATTTTCGTATTAAATAAGTATATTTAATTAAATAATACTAATAAAACTTTAAAATATACAATTAATTCAAATAATATTAAATTACTTATAAGGGAAAAAAGGTTTTAGGTAATCCCTATATACCTATAAAACATATATTTTTCAGTAGCTATCTTTAATTAATTAGTAAATTAATAGGACTATTATAATTTTAATCTATATAATTCTATATTAAAGAATATAGAATTAACTTTAATTTTATTATTTTAAAGATTTAACGTTTAGGGGGTAATAAAGTTTAACCTAAATCTTTTTATTCATTAAATCAATTTTATTATTTAAAAATCTAATTAAATTTATAGATTAATAATAGTAGAAACTATACGAATAAGATTAGTAGAATATAATTTAAATTTTTAAATATTTATACCCAAAATTTAGAAATAGAATATAGTATTAAAGAAGTATATAATATTTAAATAAGAATAGAAAAAGAATATTATAGTATAATAGTATTAGAAAATAATTTATAATACTTTATAGATAAAATAATAGCAACCTAAAGGCCTACCTAAAAATCCTTTAGGGGAAATATTATTTCTAATTAATAGTAAATCTAATAATATCCTCTCCTAATAAAGCAAATATATATATAATACTAGAAAAAAGCCTTAGCGTTTTATATAACCTAAGGATTATATTACTTAAATTAAAAAAAACCGATTATAAAAGTTCGGAAATATAGAGATCTTTCTTTACTATTAACTATATAATAGCTTTAATACTATAATTAACCTTCCTCTATTCTAATATATATTAATTAGACCTATTAAGGAAAATAATAGCGAAAGTTCTTTATTATTTAACTCTTTATTATTTAACTCTTCCTTTCCTACTTTTATAGTATAATAAAGAGAAGTTAAAAAATTAATCTCTTCTTTAAACGATATTTATTTACCCCTAAATTCTTCCCGAAATTCGATTCCAACCCTAACTCCGCCTCGATAAATTATAACTTATTCTTAAAATTTAAAAATAATAAATTAACCGTCTTCTATTTTAACTTTATTTCGTCTAATAATATTATTACCTCTCAATCCTTATTTAATTAAGAAACGAAGCGCTTTTATTCAATTAATTATTAATAATTAAATACATTAAAATTTAATATTAACTATATCTAACCCTCCTAGGGAAATTAGAATTCTTTTTATTAATATTCTAATAAATTGTATATAATTATAAACTCCTTTTCCGTTTAGAAATATAGGAATTTTTAAATTATTATTAGAAAATAGAATTCTATCAGTTCCGAAAAGTATTAACCTATTAAATACCTTAGAATTACCTATAAATTTAGTATAAATATTTATTTAAGTAATAAGGATTAATTAATTACTAATCCCTTTAAATTTTAGGAAACCTTCAAATCTATTTACTCCCTTTAATTCCTTTTAATATAAATATACATTATTAAACCCCATACTTGTATTGCAATAAGGATTATCCCTAGTATCTAGATCTAAAAGTTTTTATTTAATTAGAGAAATACCTATTGTTAGTTAAAGCCTAATAATTGATTAATTATAGGTAGTAGTACTATTTAATTTTAATTCCTATAAATTTATAGTGAATTTTTTGATCTACTTTATTCGTTATATAGAATACAATTTAAATAACCTTCCTAAATATAATTTTAATAACCCTTTTTAAATTATAATAGAATTTAAGGAAAGATTTAATTTAAATATTCATTTAAAACTATAAGGACCTTTATAACTTATTAGAACAACTTAGAATAATATTATTCGGAAAATAAATAATTATTTCCTTATTAAAAGTATTAGAGAAAAATATTTAATTACTAAAAGTAAGAAAGAATATAAGGGTAATAGAAATAATAAAGGAAGATATTAATTATATATATATATATATATAAAGGTGAATTTATTTAGGGGATTTATTGTAAATTTAAAGGGAAGATTTGATTTGGGGTAGTATATGGGAACGTATGTATTGGTTTTTAACAGTAATTTTTTTTCAAAAAATTTTCAAAGTATATAGGATTAGGAAAATACTTTCTAAATTAAACAAACCTAAATAATTAGTATAAATAAAGAATAAAAAAAAAAGGAGATCGAATATAAAGAAACAAGAGGAGAGAAAAATAGAATATCAACCTTTTATTAAACTAAATAATTAATTTCTATTTCTTTAATAATTTTTAAGTTATATAAAATTAATTTTTAATAGTTATTAATTATTTATCTTTATTTATTTAGTATATTAAATAATCCTTTATCCTTCTTAGGGAAATATTTATTCGTATCCCTATTTATATCCGAAAGAAAGATGCAAAAAGATCCGATAATTACCCTCGTTTTCCAGTGAAAACTGAACATTAAGCCATTCAACAAATACGTGACTCCAATGAGTCGTATCTAACTTAATACCTCCTATCTCGACTATCTGAAAAGATTTGAAAATTATCTACCACTCTACTTAATTAAACAGCTAAGAACTACGGTCCTTATACATCGTGCTAGTCGTAGTAGTGTTGGTGTTGTTGTTGTGGTTTTCTCGCCATTTCATTATACTAAGTACATTTGTACTTTTCATAAACGAATGAACCGCTAACAACTATCTGCTTCTAGGGCCCCCGGTACACATTACGGTATGGCAACCGTCTCGACTAACACAGGCCATAATTCGTCTTCAACTGATTTATCTTGGGCCCTCAACCGCCCTAAAAAGAAAACCAATTAGGGATGGCGTGCCCTTTATAGAACAGTCGTTCTCGGTAAAAAGCTCACAGACGCCTACTATGACGGCCGCGATATTATATATTCATATTATAGTAGTTGTTCTACCGGCGGCCGCCAGGGTCTTCGTGAGATCCAAAAATTCCCTAATTCCTTCGATAGTATACTCATCGGTGCTCCAATTTGGTGGACTTCCCACCTATACAATTGGTTTACTAAAGTAGGATTATACAACCTCCCTAATATATCCTCCTCGTATATCCCGACCCCTCTACTTCAAATTATCGCCGACGAAGTAGTTAACTAATGCGACTTTGCGGATGGCGTCGAAGACGGTATTATTAGCCGCCCCGACCTCTGTACCTTTAATTCGTCCGTCCTCCTCTGCCCATCCAATTATACCGCCTCCACCAACGGAACAACAACCTGCCTAACCCAACCCCAAATCGACACAGTCGAAAAGGTCTACTCTTCCTACTACCACGAGGATACAGGAGAATTCATCTATCCCGGCCCTACCCTCGGCTCCGAAGCCGAATGGTATAGGATAATCGGTAATACCAATGGTACGCCCTCCCCCTACGGCGTCGGCTTCCAGCGCAATTTCTTACTAGACAACGCTACCTGGAATTGGACTAGCTACTCTGACTCCCTCGTCGACCTCGCCGACCGCATCGACCCCGGCGCAGCCACAGCGGACGAATACGACATTTCGGCCTTCAAATCCCGCAGCGGCAAAGTGATTCTCTACCACGGCTTAGGCGACGGTCTCGTTCCCGCCAAGGGCACGGAACTGTACTATAACCGCACCATGCGCCTTTTTGGCGGGTCGCTTACCACGCTCGAGAACTTGGGCAACACAACCGAGTTCTTCAGATTATTTTTACTCCCAGGGATGCAGCACTGCTAGGGGACTCCGGCGGGGGTGGATGCGCCGTGGAACATTGGCGGGGCGTTCCAAGCGGGCGTTATAGGATCGGGTTTGTGGTCTGTTCCCGGTTTTGAGGGGAGCGAGGAGCATGATGCGCTGGTAGCGCTGAGGAAGTGGGTGGAGGAGGGAAGGGAGGTGAAGCAGTTGGTTGCGACGAGTTGGAAGGCTGAGTTGGATGTGAATAGTGGGGTCAAGAGGCAGAGAAAGATTTGCGCATGGCCAGGGCAGGCGGTGTTGAGGGGGGGGGGGGGGGGGGGGGGGGGGTTGGTGTGGATGAAGTAGATATAAATAGGGAGGAAGCGTGGGAGTGTAAGTGGCCTGAGGGTGTTGAGGAGTAGGAGGAGTGGTGATAATAGGAGGTGTTAGTGTTGAACTGGAAGAAGAAGAAGACAAAGTAAGAGTCTTGGAGGGGTAGCTGTGGCCAGCTGGGAGTCGATTGGTAGCTTAGGTATCTATAGGAGAGCGGACGGGATCCCGAGTTTTCTACCATCTATGGTCGTATGTGATAGTTGTGGTCGGAAGAAGTACTTGTAAACGGGGGCCAAGTGTATTTATTGTGTAAACTGATCTGATGGCTGGATGTTTCAACATGCAGTCAGGGTTAGGGCCTAGCATGCCATGTCGATCGGATCTGGGGCAGCTGAAGCTTCACAATGACGCAACACGATGGGGAACTGCTGCTTCGTTGTGGTCCATGCTGCTTTTCGGCTTCTGCCACCTTAACGGCCGGAAGTTTTCATCTCCAAGTTTAAGGGACTCAAGTGTCAAGCCACACGGGAAAAGAGTTCCGAAATTGAACAAAGATGTGGTAAACTGAACCGCATTGATCTTGATCGAGGTGACCCGTCGGCAGGTGGCAGCCCGCGTGTGGCCGGGGGAACGAGACTGGCTGGCAGTGATGAATGACGGTGGGACTGACTGCCCGCAATCGCATGCCGCAGGACCTCTGTGCGGACGATAGATAGTGTACATATAGCACCTAATGTGATCCCCCACTTCAGTTCCCATGCTGAGGAAGCTGGACTCGGATTTTGCCTTTGGCATCTCTTGACCCGACACGCCGTGAACCAACCATTTCCATCTCACATCGACTTTCCTCCCAAAGCAGCCCCGCGCATCATCGGCTTCGCTGTCGCCATTATGACTACGAGAGGCGTTTCCGTCCTCAAGTTTGTAGGGACTGTATCCCTCGGGCTCCTAACAGTACGTCCATCTCTCCCGCGCCTCTTCTTTTCCGCTGCTGAGACAATTGTTGCTATTTCGGCACTCGTCTCTTCTAATACCGTGTCACTGAGGGACATAATTGAAGAATCGAGCTTCGAACTTGGATTCACTTTATCGCACGCTGGCTGATTGAGTTTTCGATCGCTAACCATCAACTTATTGCATAGGGCGTGTCTTTCACCCTCTCGACCCTCACTATTCCCGCCCTCCTGACCCTTCCCTCCGCAAACGATGCCGCGCGCGCGCTCGAATCGCTATCCACCTCAGCCAAGAAGCACCTGCGCACGCTAAGCACCATCTCGGGCTCCGCCTTCGCCATCGCCTACTACCTTTCCCCGCGTGCCTACCGCCACCCGTACCTGATCTACACCTCGCTACTCGTGTTCGGTTCCCGCTTCATCACCTCGGGCTTCTTCGGTCCTTACTTTAGCTTCATTACCCCCGCCGTCCCCGCCTCGTTGTCGTCCGGCATGTCCTCCGTCTCGTTCGTGACCGCCCGCAGCAGCCAGCAGAAGAAGAAGAGTAGCACGCCGCGCGGCTTGGAGGCTAGCTATGAGGTTCTTGGTGATCCTTCCCACAGCGAGGCGACTTCGGGCTCGGAGGATGTCGAGGAGAAGCTGGCTAATGTTAATGGCGAGGAGGTCCGTGCCAACGTGGAGGTGTTCTTGAAGAAGAACATTGTCCAGAGCGTTGTGGCTGGCGTTGCGTTCTTGATGTCCGTTGTTGGCATCTGGGGCGATGGGCTGGGACAGCAGATCATTGTCATTGCTTGAAGTGATGAGTATGGAATGCGGGAGAGGGAGGTTGCGTAACTGTGACTCCAGAGAGGTGAGAACGTCAGGAGAAGCAACAGATTATGCTGATGTTGTAACCTGGTTTTGCAGAGAGCTCAAGGGCTCGGTTGACTGAGGAAGAAGGATGCGAGGACGTTGATCGTCATTTTCCCGATCTGGATGGCGGAAATACATCTTTCGATCGTTGTAGAGACAACACACACGTGTGGTCTTTCATATATCGTCAACTTATGGTTATCTGGGAGGCAGACTTACATGGTAAAGGTGCACGAGAATGTATCTAACGGAACAAATGGGAGTTTTGGATTGTTTTCACGCTGGTTTCATCTGCTATAACGGTCCATCCCAACGTTGGCCTTTGGGTCGCTCGCAACGAAGCTTTCTGCCGAAAACACCATCTCCCGGATCTTTCTTTGTCACGAGCATGCAAGTCGGTCAATGCAACGCATGCTTTACCATGTCTTTCTGATATACCGACCGAGAATTTTCGTGCGAACACTAACTTCATCAGTGGTCAAATTCAAGTAACAGTCATCAATATTACAAGGCAAGATGGCCGAGCGGTCTAAGGCGCTGTGTTCAGGATTCCTGAGTATCGCAGTCCGAAAGGGCGTGGGTTCGAATCCCACTCTTGTCAAAGCTTTTGCATTTTGATGCACAGTGATGTCGATATCATTTGTCTCTTTTTTTGCAATTTCGTTCTTTGCGTTATGGTTTGTGATTTTTACTGCTCCTATCTCCCACTGCAAAGAATAGTCTCAAGTGGTACAGTATGTAGTCAACACCCTGTTCTGCCTATCCAAGCGGTAGTAATTCGTATACATATCATTGTATTCTTAAATCAATCTCGCCTGCTTCTTCTTATACACGATTGAAAATAGCCTTGTCTTTTATGACAGTTGAGAACACCAGCCGTGAGCTACCGTAAGGCCCCGTTTGGGCCACTGTTCGAGGCTACGGCTCTTTCTTAGGTCGAGGTAAACCCGGACTTCGGTACCGACAAAGCCGGGGCAGCAAGACCCAGCTTCCGAGGAACAACGGAAAGCCACACCCGCGTTGCTACCAATTGCCCACAATGACCGGGGAACGAAAGCTCATCCCGTGTAGCCGAAGACAGAGGATACCAGCCAATGGTTTCCACAGGGCATTATCCGAACTTGACCCATAAAGACCGGGATGTTTCCCCGGAGGAAAGGCTGGACAGACACTCTTTGTTTTCATCAGAGTCCCGTTCGAGAAACAATCTATTGTTCACGGAATGGGCCGTAAGGCACCCCCCACATTGTTCAGGCGAGTTTTGTGTATAAATGGTGGCGGCTCCCGCCATGTTTCTGGAAGTTTTCCTCAAGTTCATCAGGCGGCACATCTCGGGAATTACATGAACATCACATAGACGTCACCAGCTACATAATAACGATTGTCGCTGCTGAGTACCGGGAGAAAGACTTCATTTTTTCAAACCATATTTGACTTCAGGTTGTCTTTGACAAGGCCAATCACCGTTCACAGATTACCATATATCCCATGCCACCACCTCCGAGGCACATCCCTCACTGGTATCTATTTGAAGACCTCCGATTCCCTTTACATTCCTAATCAAGAAACCCCCTTTTTTTCCGTGTGTCAAACTAACCATTCCTATAGAAATATATTCGGAACACATCAAATTCTTCTCACAAGCAAGTCAGCCCTGATGCAAATGTAAAGCTGACAATTTCTTCAGGAGAGACCCCCAGAAATATCTATCCGCACGACCACTTGCAGGTAAGTCAGCCCCCTTCAGTTCAAACCTGGCTATCCATTCACTAGGTATACAACCATACCAACGGAAATTCTCCGGATAAAGCTCACAAAGCTTCGATGGGTCATGCTTCCCCAATATAGAACTTCACAGGTAAGTTACTCCTCCCTAATTCCATGCTGACTACGCATCCATAGGCCGCTCTGTACGAAAGCATTCTTCACAGGTAAGTCAACCACTCCCTTGACTAGATGCTAACAACCTTTCCACAGGATTAACTCCCCAAGGCGAAAATAACAGGTAAGTGAGCTCCCTCCCAAGTCCGAAGCTAAATCTTTCTTCTAGGCCGAAGCACAACCCACATGAACAAGCCTGTCACTTTTCAGGTGAGTGAAGAATCCTATCTATGGCAGGCTGACAAAGTTTCTGTAGAACAATCTATGTAAGATAGCTCATTCTAGGTAAGTCAGTCCCGCCCCTTAACCTGAGAACGAACTACCTGCTTAACTGAAAACAATTATTCGGCAACATATCAGGTAAGTTAACTTCCCAGTAGCTTGACAGCTGACTCTAACTAGGTCAGAGCCCAACCCGTCCACTTCTAGAATACTCCAGGTAAGTCGAGCCAGCCCCAGATTACAGCTGACTCCTTCTAGGTCGGGCTCAATACTACTGTAGTAGACGAAGTATAATTTCTCAGGTAAACCAAATACCCCCTTTTCAAAAGCTAACAGCTTTGTAGAACGACGTCCGATGCCAGGTCCCCGTCCCGACCCCGAGCCTCGACTCCTTCCTTCTGTTTCCGCAAGTGTATTCACCCCCTTGTCAGAGGTAAGTCAACCTCCTTCTGAAAGTTTACTGACCTTGCCACATAGCGAAAGTGACTTTGCCCTTCATGACCCGACCCCGACTTCGATCCCCGATCTGACATCATTCTCATCCTATATTGGCCAAGATGCCATTAGATGTCCGATTTCCAGGTAAGCTTCCTTTCATTGTCGTAAACTTACTCTTCTTCCTTAGGTCTACCTAATCACTTGAAAGTCACTCCGTTAGAGCAACAAGGTGAGTCAGTTCCCCTTTCTAGAACGATGCAAAAGTAACGATTGGGAGAACAGGAGCTAGCAAAGGCCTATGCTAATCCAAATACAATACTTCATGGCCAAGTCCACCTCCCGTCTCCATGCAAAATTGGCTGAGCACTTGACAGAGCCGGATCGAAGTTGAACCACTAAGAAGTTGTCTTGAAGGTGAGTTATCCTCTCACCACGTTGACAAACTGACTACTATTTCTAGGACGAAGACACTCAACAGTACTAGCTTACGGTATGTTTTTTACATTTCTAAGCTAACGATTAGCTCTTATAGGTCGAACAGACCGTGTCATGGATTCATCAGTAAGTCTAAACCCCCCTTTATAGAAATGCTTAATCCTTTCTAGACTGAAATGAACTAGTGACAGTTCACCTCAAGGTAAGGCCCCCAACTTTGCGTAGTAAACTAACCACCAGAATACAAACTTGACTATTTACAATTCGCACCCTTCTTTCCCTATCACCCAGTAGACATGGAGGTAAGGCTCTCTCCTCCCCTTTAGCAAGCTAACCACCAGAATAAGGAGAACTAGGCAAAAGACTACCACCCACTGGTTCCAAGTACGAAAGCGATCACAGGTAAGCCAAGCCTTGTATCCGATGGGCCACTGATAAGCTGCTAAGCAACAGGTCGATGGAACACCTTGGCAATAACTCCTCCGCGGGGAGGTAAGTCACCCTTTCCCCTCCTTCTCTCCCCTTTCTCCTCCTTCTCTCCCCTCCCTCCTTCCTTCCTCCGCTTCTCCTTCGTCTCACTTCATTTACCATCTTTGTTCCAAAAGCTGCACTCATTCAGAGGTACTAACAGGTCAACATACCCCATCATCTCTAGGTTACTACTACTACCTCTACGAATCCAAATCTATGACGCCGCTGCACCGACAGGCTGGACATTCCCAAATTGCTGCCACCACCACCACCACCACCACCACCACCACCACCAATAGCAGCAGCAGCATTGATAGGTCACTACGCAGTAGTCAATGTCAAGATTACATCCAACAGTTCGAACCTAAGCCAAGTGGCTTGGCCTTGAATGGACCATGTTGGGTATTCTACTGGATTACTCAATTTGGTTGGTTCATCGTTTCTTTTCCCTAGATGTATTTTTCCTTCTTCCTTTCTCTCTCTTCACCCCCCCTGTCTCTTTTCTTCTTTTTTTCATCATTTTTTTTTTTTTTTTTTTTTTTTTTTTTTTTTTTTTTTGCTTTTTCCCCCCCCCCCCCCCCCCCCCCCCCCTCACCCTTCCCATTGGGCTTCATACCTCTATGCGTGCTCATTCATCTCTTCCTACCACCGCCACCCACTTCCTATTCTTTGTTTCTTTGTTTTTCTAGGCAAGTGCCTAGTCTCAGTATTTTGTCTCCTCCCCCCCTATCTCCTTTGTCCTCGTGAGGCAAGTGCCTCCAAGTTCTCACCCCTCCTTTCTCATTGTCCAAACCTCGGATCAAGCGGACTTGACGCCCCCGTGCCTTCCTTCAAGATACTCTCTGCCTTCGTGTGGGCTATTCTCTGAATCAAGTAAATTCAACAATTCATTTCCTGCTTGATTTGCGTTTTGTTCGCTGATTGTCATGCATCTTCAATGAGTGGTTACGACGTTTGAGCTGGGTTGGGATTAGTTCTACATGGGCTGCCATGGTGGAAGGCAGGGAATAAACCAACATTGTGGACGAGCTGAACTCTCTTCACAGGCGTTTTCTTCAGCCATCATTGAAAACCACATGTAGATAAATGCCTTGCTTGAGGATGTAGTACCATTTCAATTGTTTTTCTGCTTCTAAATGTGATATGCAGAGTGGGGAGTCGTTTCCTCGAAACGTCTATATGGTTTGGCCTTGCCGTGATGGTTGTGGTATACATGCTTCCATATCATGCCTTCTCTCTCTTTTTCCCTCCCTCCCTTCGATGATGAATGGTACATATCGACGTCCACCCAGAATGGTATCTAACCCAACCACAGAAACCCAAAGCAAAAAAACAGGCAAGGCCAATGTTTCTAATTCAAACCCGTTCATCCATCAACCGAGCCACACAACCATAACCGCACTCAATGTCGGCTGGCGGGGCCCCCGGCTCAAGAATCGAAACCACCCGTCCCAAATGTAAGATACCGGAACGCCGCCCGCTGATATATGACGACCAAAATCCCAGGCCAGACCCGATTCAGCCCAGGAAATAGCTTTTCGAAAAATTCGAGAAAAACAAAATCATGATCGTAGCCTCCCCTTTCTTCCTTTTCCTTCTAATCCGTCATCCTAAACCCAAATGACCTCTTTGCAATAATACCCCCTTTTGAAGCCAAGAAAAACAGGAAACCGTAACATAATCACCAGGAATGTCATGATGCAAACTTTCTTGCAGCGTTAAGGGGGTATCATAAAAGTCATTCCCAACCCAAAAAAAAAGAGGAGGCCGTGATCAAATGAGATAAGAAAAAGAAAACACGGCAAGAGAAAAAGAGGATGCGGGAGGGACTACCTGCTTCATGCAGAAGCCTCCTCAGCATTGCCGCCACCAAGCAACTCCAGTACCTTGTTAACAACAGCACTAGGGTACCCACGACCAAGCATCTCGCTCACGACACCCTTTGCACTCTCACGCTCCTCAACAGCGAGGAACGCGCGAGTCATGGCCTCGTAAGTGCTAGGCTCCCTCTTATCGCGACCAACAGCCGCATAAATCTCCTTGGCCTTGGCGATGTTCTTGTCAGCGGCCCACCCGTGGATGAGCGTATTGGCAATGTAGGGAGTCATCTCGATGCGCCTAGCGCGCATGTCGGCGAGCATGGGCTCTGTGCTGGTGATGTGGTGGTTGGCGACCATGGCCTCGAATAGAGCCTGGAAAAGACAAGGGGATGGAGCGATGGAGACGTCGTTGATGACCGAGTCAAACACCTTGCGGGCGCCTTCCATGTCGTGTAGGACGCAGCCGCGGGCGTGGATAAGGGACGCGTAGTGAACGGGCTCGGGGTGCTGGCCAGAGGCGCGGATCATGTCGAGGACGGATTCAGCGGCGGTCATGTCAACGGGGTCGAGGGTGGCGTGGGTGTCGACGAGGAGCTTGAAGGTGTGCGAGGTGGGGGAGATGCCTTTGGCCTTCATGCGCTCGAAGTACTCGAGGACCTTGGTCTTGTCGCGCTTAGTGGTCAGGAAGAACTGCATCATGCTGTTGTAAGGGGCGGGGCGGGCCTTGTAGTTGGGCATGGCCTCCATCTCGTCGAAAAGCTCCTCGGCAAATTTCTCGTCGCTGACGCGGCAGAGAGCGTTGACAATGGTTCCGTAGGTGACCGAGGTAGGCTTGATACCCATCTTGCGCATCTCGTTGAAGTAGAAAAGGCAATCATCGATGCGACGAGCCTTGCCGAGCTTGCCGATGAGCGCATTGTAAAGGAACGAGCTAGGCTCGACACCCTCAATCTTGGCTCGGTGGAAAATCTTGACAGCTTCAGAAGCCTCATCGAAAATCTTGGTGGACTCTTTCAGGGTAGTGATGTAGAGACCAAAGGTGTTGGCAGAGGGAGTAGAGCCCATGGCGAGCAGCTCTTGGTGGTACTGTTCGGCCCCGACCCTGTCACCCAAAGTGAGGCAGGCACCAACCATGGCATCCAGAATCGAAGACCAACCGTAGCGAACGACAGCATACCGAGGGAGAAGCGGGACGTCAGTGCGGGCCATGGCGAGGATATCGAAACAAAGATCCATGTTGCCGTCACGGGCAGCAGCGGAGATAAGCTTGGCATAGGTGACGTAGCGGGGATGGCGACCAACGCGGCGCATGTTCCGGAAGCGAGTGAGAGCATCGTTCAACTTGGGGCCCTTGCGACCATTGCTTTCAAGGTCCTCAGAGATGAGCGCGGAACCCTTGAAGTCGGTGCTGTGGGCATAGGGGTCGAAGGTATCCTCGAAAGCAGACGCAGTCGGGGTAGCCGGGTGCGGGGAAGCGGGGAAAGACTGAGGAGCGTACGAAGCAGGCGAGGGAAGCAAACGGGGGTCAGTGACACCACGGGCGGCCATGAAGGCGTGAATGAATTCGGCAGCCTCCTCGATCTCATCAGTCACTTGTGGCTTGGTCTCGGTGGTAGCACTCGCGCTGATGCGGTGGAACATGTGCTCAGCTTCAGTCAAGCCTTCGACAACCTGGCCGGAGCCAATGAGAGCGATAGCAAACATGGCGGTGGGCTCAATGAAAGACGAAGTGGCCTTGACCTCGGGATGGCTAAGAGCGGCCCAGTATCTGGCAGCACTAGCAACATCGGCTTGGCGCACGCTCATGGCAAGCAAAGCGATGGCGGAATTGGCGGCCTCGTCGTGAGAGGCAATGTTGGAGAAGGCAGTGATGGCGACGTTCTTATATCCATAATCGGCGGCGGCAGTGGCGACCTGGCTCATGACACGGCCCCTGGCATCCTGTTCCACGCTCTGAGCCCAGCGGAGTGCTTCCTCATAGATACCGCGGTCGAGGAACCCCTTGACGAAACCACCGCTGATTATGGCGTCTTTGATATCCGCAGCGCTGGCATCGTACTCCTCGACAATCTTCTTGTAGAACTTCATAGCACCCTCAAGCTTGTCGGAGACAACGTAAGCATTGATCACTGCAGCATAGACCTGAGCGTCGAGGCGATCTTGAAGAGTGGGCTCGCCGTTGTCGTTGGCAATGGCGAGGTTGCGGTACTCGTTGTAGCACTCAACGGCACTGATCAAATCACCCGCGTTGGCGAATGCCGTGATCATAGCAGGGAAGGTGGCAGCGAACGGGGTCACCCGGTTCGCCTCCAGATGCTCAAAGAGGTGAAGCATATCCGACACCCGGCCAGACTGAGCACAAGCAGAGATAAGCTGGTGGTAGGTCTCAGAGGAGTAGACGGCCTTGTCAGACTTGACGGAAGACTGGAAAAGCTGCAAGGCCAAGTCCAGACGATCATCCTCGCAAAGAATAGCATACTCCAGCTCGTGCGAGGCAAACATGAACTTGCCAGGTTCGTCCATGCCACCGAAGCGGAGACGCTTATCCTGAAGAAGGCTCTTGGAAGCAAAGACCTCGAGCGAACGAGAGGCAAGCAAACCGACGAGGATGTTGTAGGTATCACTGTCAGGAGACACCTTGCGCTTGAGCATATCAGCGTAGACGTCCAGGGCCTTGGAGACAATCTCGGATTTCTCCGAGGGGAGGTGGATAGCGGCCATGAGAAGGGCATTGTAGGCGGTTGCAGTAGGCTGGATGTTAGCGAGCAGCATGCCCTCGAACACGGCGGGAATCTCGGCATAGCGGGCAGCCTCGGAGAGCTTGGTAAGATGGACGGCGTAGCTGATAGACTGAGCGTCAAGAGGCGGAGTAGCAATCCGAGCAACGCTGGCAGGGGTGCGCAGGTGGATGGACGGAGTGCGTGATCGGGATCGAATCTCTTCCTCCAGCTTTTCGGCAAGGGCGGGCGATGTGGCCCGAAGGGACTCGAGCTCCTCCTCGACAGCCTCTAGCTGCTTCCGAACCTCGATCTCCTCCTCGATTCTAGCGTTGATGTGAGCGAGGGCGGCCTCAGCCTCTGGCGGAACGCGGGAGACGCCATCATCAAGTTTGGCAACCCCATCAGCAGCCAAAGCGAGTGTATTTGCGTCTCCCTGGGCGAGGATGGAAGTGGCGGAAGGCTTCCACTCGATCAGCTTCGGGAACTGGAACTGAACCCATTCCTGATCGTGTTCTTCTCCAGCCTCCTGGGCAGCCTGCGACTTTTGCAGGTGCTCATAGTAGGCATCCAGAAGACCGGCATTACTGGGGAGGACCGTCGTCTTGTTGTCATGGCGAGGCTCGACGGATCCGCCCGCGTTCAGGTTGCTGCTGGTGCGGAAGGCATCCTGAAGACCGAGGGTGGAGAGGCGGCCACCCAATCTCGTGCTGCTACGCCGAGCAAAGGATGGCCTGTTCTGAGGGTTTAGAACATTGTGGTGGGTGGCAGCTACGAATGACTGGGCGTAGCCGTGGGTGAAGGACTTTGAAAATCCGGAGCGGATAACGTTCTGAAAGACGGTCGAGTAGACGGAGGGCATTTAGGAAACACCTGGGGAGGAGGGGGTCTGTGGCTTAGGCTCAGGGTTAGCATGGGACCATGTTATTTTGTTGTTTGTTGATGTGTAGATATAAACATTTCCGAGTTTTGGCGCTGTTTGGTGTTTTTGCTGCAAAATATCTGACTCCCCCACCCGTTCTCTCGAGGTCCCCCACTTGAGGCCGGCCGCTCAAAAACATCGTGGTGGCAACATCATCATGTTTGTGTATTTTGTCCCGGTTTTTCAACCACGTAAGTCGTGTCGTTGGAGAAGATCGGAGGCAGGGCAGGGCAGGCAGGAAGAACGGACGAATGGGTGTGGCCGTCAACTTACAGGGAAAGATTGATGGATGCGCAATTGCAGGTTCATTTGACGACAGTTAAGCCGTCAAACAAACGCGCGATCTAGGAGTAAATAGGTGCCTCGTAAAGAGATTATTATCGAGTGAAGCTGTTTCGAAAACAAGCAAGAACGAAAAACACAAAAAAAGAATGTCTGCGTGCGGTCTGGGAGAAGGGTAGGATGCGTAGTTTATTTGAAGTGTCGGCCCCCGGTAAAGTTGTGGCCCGCTGCCGGGTACAGGACGATACAACTGAAAATGTGGATGATCACTGATCGCTTCCTTGTAACTTTTTTTTTTTTTTTTTTTTCCTTGCTAGGCCAGGCGACCATCGATCGACACCCTGGCGGACTCCTGCCCTGCCACCGTTTGCGCGCCGATTTGATAAACGAAGAGGCAGCCAGGGGTGCAGTGGTTTAGCGGATGCCGCTTCGCTGCGGGGGCTTGATGTCGTCTTTCGTGCTGGAGTCGCTACGCGGGTGGACTCGGGACCAACAGGAGTGAAATTAGTCAGATGCTAGCGTTTCTTCCCGCTGCTCCAAAAAAAAGGTACCTCTGACTTGGAGATATGTCCCGCAGTACTTGGAGCAATGGTTGAGTTTATACGGAAATACGAGTTGTCTTGTCAGTCACCGATGCTGTACTCGGTACCTGATCTCGACCAGGCAGCCTTCTGAGGACCTCAACAGTAAATGTTCAAATTGAGCCTTCACAACCAACTTGACAGCTTGAGAATATCGATCCTCTACGTCAGAACGTGATGGAGTAGTAGGGTCGGATAGGATTGGCTCCAAGGCAACAATACCAAAAAAAGCTACATACACTACGTAGTGTAGTGTAGTGTAGTGTAGTGTAGTGTAGTGTATACCATGGGCTCGGAGGCGTTGAACCTCACAAGAGAACAGCTTGGCTTCAACTGCTTCAAGCCTTCGACATTGGTGGATCTTGACTCATGTTCCGGATTCAGACGACCTCCTTGCTGCGACTCCATTCTCTGTCATGGCGATGCGTATCTACACTACGGCGTAGCAGTGTCAACACCTACGACACGCGTCCATTGTTGCTTTCTGCGGCTGTGCGCCAACCGCCAACTGCCATGGTATCTTCCTGCCACTCTCTTTCGCTCTTCTAAACCGGTCGAATGCAGTCCGGAAGATTCGCTTCCTTCTCGATAATACCTATCAATCGCTTCTCGATCCCAGTCGACCACCAGCTGCTGGTGGATTACACATTGAAGGGCACGCTAGGCTGGGTGTGGATGGACGGAATCCTCGGTCGCTGTCGCGGGTGGCGGCTCTGAAAGTGGATGCAAATGCGCCCCCGCGAGAATGGAATGCGAGAGTGAAGAGAAGAAACCGGCAGCAGTTGGGCAGTCTCTTTCGCTAGGACGCTAACAGGGCTGGGGTCATTTGGCCGTGCTTCTTCTGCAAAAGAAGGTCTTTTTGCATTAGTCCCTTGCAGCAAGCGACTTTCCCCAGGTTTTGGGTCCACCACTGTCTGGGATCTGTCATTTGTCAATCTTCAGCATCCCTGAAAGCGGTCCCTGGAAGCTTCAACGCCTTTTTGTTTTACACTACATACTAGTACACTATACTACAATGGGGACTGCGACATTTGCAAACTTTTTTTTTTTTTCTGGTACTGTTGATGCTGCTCAGCCGCCATGACACATTTACTTGATGGGGCTAGAGTGTCCAAATGTTCCAAGGTGTGAGAAGGGAAGAGCGGACATAAGGAATTCTTAACCCCAACAGTTGCCCAATTTCTTGGGTGCTTCCGTCAGTCATCTTGTTGGTTTCCTTTTCCCCCCAACTTTGGGGAAGTAAGATGCACCACTGCAGACAATTTACAGTTGAAATGCAACCACACCGTGTTGACACTTGACCAGTTCCTTGATCCTACGCTTATCAGATCCGATCATCACCATCTTGAAGAGGAAAGCGGTGACATGGTGGCCGTTCACGGGAAGTGCCTGGTTGGTCCTGGGATCGTGAAAGAGTCACATGTGCATCTGACAGCATCTGCGACGAGAATTTGCCGCTTCGATTCGGACTTTGCAAACATCCCGTCCGAGCCGCACTTCAACATCCAAGGACCCTTGTCGCCATGCCAATAAGGTTCTCGTGGAACTTCATGTCATTAAAAAAGGTACCCGTCCTCCAACGAGTTCCTCCGAGGTCACACTGACAGCCAGAGGATCTCCACCCCCTTCCATCAAGTGGATCTCCGTATTCCCAACCAGGTCCTACCTCCTTTCTCCGGCGTCCGTTCCGGTTATCACCGAAGCCGCTCGGAGCAGCGGAGCCGGATCAAGGCCGAGAGCTTGACTTTTTTGGGACGTTATTAGCGTCGGACCCAAGGGGTCTTTGGAGATCCTAGATGCTAAAAAGAATCCACATTCGCATTGAGGCATTTCCCTCAATTCCCTGGCAGCGAGTCAACCATCAAATGGCAAGTTCAGGCTGATATCTGGACCAACAAACATACCACGAATCAGAACCAGCTACGTCGGACAACTCGATTTTGATTACTCTCTGGCGTCTGTTCACGTTTATTGTTATATGATATATAATCAACCCTGCTGTCATTCTCTGCATGCTGGTGATGATATCCCGTTCTTAACTTGTTTCCTTCTACATGTCATAAACGCCAATTTGGTGAACACGACATCACATGCTTGACGGCCTGCAATAACCGCTATGGATCCAAACTTGGGTTGCAACCAAGAGGTTGGCGATGAATGAGATGACAGGATGCACTATAATCCCTACCTCGAGCTCTAATCAATCACTCATGTGTCTCGAATATAGATCTTGCTCTTCAAAACACACATGTCACACCATGTATTCACTTGCTATGCCAAAAGCAATAACGGTCGCACCTCCTCAGTTACGTGCCAAACAGTTCGTGATGTTGATGTTTACACGCGGAAGGGGCTCACCACACAATCGCCCCGCATTGTCGGTGATATCGACCCCACCTGAACTTAAGCTCTCCTGAATGGCTCTTCATTCGAGATTCACCACTGCAACAACTTACCATTGTGCCTGACCATCATCCCAATCAACAACTTCCACTTGGCACATCCAACAACACATCCTCGCAAGCCTTCTTGGTAATAATTTACGTGTATTTCATCTCCAGTTGTTGTTACACCACCACAACCTTGCACCATCGCATCGTCAACGCCAAGATTGAACCCCCTTTCCGCCCCTCACTTGCTCTCTCAACAAACACCAAAGACAGCCATCTTCATAGACAGCATCATGTCTTTGGCCGTCTCGGCTCCCGGCAAGGTCCTCCTTGCAGGTGGATATCTAGTCCTCGACCGCAACTACACGGGCCTTGTCTTTGGTCTCAGCGCCCGCATCAACGTCATCTCCCGGGACATCCAGGCCAGCCCCGGGGTTCACATTAACGAGATCATTGTCAGGAGCCCTCAGTTCCTGAAAGCCGAATGGCGCTACGGCTACCACCTGGCCGATGAAGACGGCGGCATCAAGACGATCCAGCTGCAAGGAGGCGCTTCTGCCTCGGCCAAGGGCAACCCCTTCGTCGAGACTACGCTCAACTATGCGCTCACCTACATCACCCGCCGGGCCGCCTACGGGACTACGCAAACCCTGAAGCCGGTTACCCTCACCATCCTCGCCGATAACGACTATTACAGCTCGCCCACCAAAAACAGCAACGCCGCCGGAAAAGGCAGCGGTGGCAGCCGCTTCGCCGCCTACTCCACCACCCTGGAAGACGCGCACAAGACGGGCCTCGGCTCCTCCGCCGCCCTCGTCACCGCCCTGACCGCCTCCCTGCTTTCTCACTACCTAGACCCTTCCCTCTTCGACCTCGCGACCGACGAGGGCAAGCGCATCCTGCACAATCTCGCGCAAGCAGCTCACTGCGCCGCGCAGGGTAAAGTCGGCAGCGGGTTTGATGTGGCTGCCGCCGTCTACGGATCCAGCCACTACCGCCGCTTTTCGCCTTCCATTTTGTCGTCTCTGCCCGAGGCGGGCAAGCCTGGGTTTTCCGCCAAGCTGTTCAGCGTTGTGAATGGTAAGGATGCTGAGTCTCAATGGGACACCGAGGTTGTGAAAGATGCTGTAAGCCTGCCCAAGGGCGTGGCGGTGCGCATGTGCGATGTCGACTGCGGCAGCCAGACGGTCGGCATGGTCAAGCAGGTGCTTGCGTGGCGGGCGGCTCAGCCCAAGGAGGCCAAGGAGCTCTGGGATGAGTTACAGCGCAGGAACGAGAAGTTGGCCAGCGTGTTGAAGGAGGGCAAGACGGAGGAGATCAGGCCGGCGGTGCACGCTATTCGCGAGCTGGTGAGGAAGATGGGCACGGAAAGCGGGGTACCGATCGAGCCGGATAGTCAGAAGGAGTTGTTGGATGCGCTGGAGGAAGGGGTGGAAGGTGTCTATGGGGGTGTGGTACCGGGTGCGGGAGGGTATGATGCCCTGGCTTTGCTGGTAAGGGATGATGAGGAAACAACGAAGAGGCTGAAGGAGTTTTTGAGCGGGTGGAGCAAGAAGAAGGGAGGCAAGGTTAGGTTGATGGAAGTGAGTGGGGAGATGGAGGGCGCGAGGAAGGAGAATCTGTTGAAGTATCAGGGGTGGGTTTAGAAATTTTTATTTCTTTTACGATGAAAGCTTGAGCATGTGAGCGGGAGAGCGGGTGCTACAGTGTTGGGTAGATACCTCCTCTGGCGAATTGCGATATAGCGAGTTTAGATAGTCCTTTTGAGTAACTACCAGATAATCATAGTATATAGTTCAACTGTATTCTTTTTTCTCGCGTGCTCTGATGTTGCGGAGCGATGAAGCGCGAGAAACTCGGATCAGCGCTCTCAGTTTTCTTGATACCTCCTGCCCAGCTACATCTACCAGGGGAGTTTTTGCGTTGACACCACACCTTCACAAACCAAACAAACCCTTCCGCTGTTACAACAAACACATATCATACAATTTCTACCGACTTTTCTTTTCTTTACCAATCTGAAACATCCACCTTGCCTTGCCTTGTCCAATCCATCACCTGTCTACCAAAAATCTTCAGGTTGCGGAAAGCAAAACAGATACTCGAACAAACAGCCATATCCCAAACTCCTCCTCCCTGCCAAAGCTTTATTCCCTGCAACCTTCCAGCACTTCACTTTTTCCCTTTTCGTCACTTTCCACTTCCTGACCTTAAAAAAGAGACCCAAAAAAGAGAAGATAAAAAAAAAAAAAAAAAAAAAAAAAAAAAAAGCTCCCGTATACCTTCTCAAGTCCAGTCTAAATCTTGTCTCCCACCACCCAACAACTAACAAAAGAAAAAAGGAGAGCAAGAAACCCAATTCCTCAACCCTATACAAATGAAAAATACCTAGGGTGGGTGATATTGTTTTTCTGTGGCCGTTACCCTCCAGGACAAGGAACGACAAGAAACAAAGTAAAAAAAAAAAAAAAAAAAAAAAAAAAAAAAAAACGAAGGAAAAACTATTGTTAACGAAAAGGAGAGAGAGAGAGAGAATAGAAGCCGTAAACCAATGCAGTTAGACAAAACTCTCAAGAGACAGAGGACATAAATGACGCCATGTCCATTTCACCTCAATCTTCACAACACAAAACCTTGACCCCGAACAAACCAACGAAATGTGTTGATGAAGAGGATGATGAGAAGAGAGGATTCTAGAACGACATGGTCCCTGTTCCTGTTCCTGTTCCCGTTCCTACCCTTACACTTCCCGTCCTCTTTTTTATCATGTTCATATTCCCACCATCCCCATTGCCATGATCTTGATCATCATCCAAACTCAATGGACTAACGGGACTAATAGGGCTGATGGGACTAATCGGGCTTCCAAGAACAAAAGAATCCAGGAGATCTGTGGTTCCCCCCATTGCCGACGCGGCAGACACTGCGGATACCTCCGAAGTAGCTGAAGCAGGGGCGGATACGTAGGTTTCGGTGGCTGTTGTCGAATTCGTAGTCGAGGAAGGAAAAGTGTTTACTTGTAGTTTCGCTTGCTGTTGCTGTTGCTGTTGCTGGTGATGAACAAGGCTAATAGGACTGAGACTAACAGCCTCTGTACCAATAACCAATACCGACACCGGAGAAGGCGACTTGGGCGTCGTTGTCCCACTTCCTCCACTTCCTCCACCTCCACTTCCGCTTCCGCTTCCGTTCATGTGCTGATTGATGGAGGCCCTACTCCTCTGCACCCTCACACTCTGTTGCGAGGACTCCCCTCCTACCCCTCCTCCTCCTCCTCCGGCTGCCAAACTTCCCAATCCCAATGGTGACGTCGGAGTAACCGGACTGGCGCTAGCCGCGCTATTGATTCCCATTCCGATCCTCGTGGGCAAGCTCAAACAGGGACTAGGAGGCCTCAGTCCCGTTCCCATCTCTCCTCCGCCGAGTCCCAGATCGAAACCGAGTGATCCATTTCCATGTCCTCCTGATGATCCATGGGAGACGGTAGGTGAGGAAGCGGAGCTGGGGACTGAGAACTTGCGGGGTGGCTGTGGTTGCGGTTGTCCTTGTCCGTGAGAGGAGGGGAGGGCGCTGAGGGAGAGGCAGGATTTGGAAGCGAGTAGTTGTTTTTTGTTGGCGGAGGTTGAAGGGGGAGAGGTGGTTGAGTCCAAGATGGGGAGGTTAGCTAAGCTGGAGGAACGAAGTTGGTCGTGGCTCTTGATGGTTTTGTTGTTGTTGTTGTTCTTGCTGTTGTGCTTGTTCTTGTTACGGTCGACACCGCGGCGAGATCGGGCAGAGGAGGGCGAGTGTTGGCGTAGGGGGTTGAAATGGGCGGCGGCGGCTTTGTCGCGAAGACCTTCTAGTCTGATGGGAGTGGCAGGGTTAGCATTGCGCAGAGAGAAGAGATAGTACCTATGGAAGGGGGAAAAGACGTACTGTTCCTCTGTGATACCGGGGATAACAGTGGTTTCTTTTTTGAAGTTGTAAGGAGCCGACTGGGGTGTTTGATTGTTAGTGGATTGCTTGTCGTTGCTATGCTCAGGGCTAACACTTACAATATCTTGACCCCGGACCTGCTTCCTCCGCTTGATTCCCAAAAGCTCCTGAAGCGAGGCGCGAAACCTTTTGAAGTTGGAGCAGACCTGCATGTTTGCGATATACTGCCGCTCGCTTAATTTTCAGGAGAGAGAGGAGAATGAAACAATGACCGTGTTGTGACGGCTGGTATTAGTGTATTAAGTGGGTTTGTGGGACAATGTAAGAAACGAATGAGTATTAGATAAAAGACCGAAACCGAATGTGTATCGATGGCCGCTTCCGAGGTTGCGCATGCGCATGTGTGCGTCTAAGTGAGTGAAAGTAACGTGTCTTATCGGCAGGAAGAGATGCAAAAATGATGGGCGTCTGGCGTTACCGAGGTCGACGTTGTACCTGATGATGATGGACAACAAAGGACTGTGTGAAAAATGAGGAGATAACAGGAGATCCAAAGACAAGAGAGTCAAGCTAATGCCCGAAGTGAATGGCGAAATAATGACGCACAACAGTGCAGAACGAACGTATACGATACCGTGGAAAGAGCGGAAGAGGAGAGGATGAACGAAAACAAGAGTGAATGATCAGAAAGACAAAGGAGTGGCAAGCCCGTCCAAGTGGCCCATTGACTTCTCTGCTGGCCTTCGCTGGTGACAACCCAGTGCGGCTCGGCAGTTTAACCCTTCTGAAGTATGAATCCGGGCTCAAAGAGAGGATTACCTGAAGAGGACCACACTTCCCGGGAACCCAAGAGAGAGGTCAAAGAAGATATACTACCGCCGCATCGGATAGTCGAACCCAACTCGGTTAGGCTTCAGGAACGTGTTCCCTTGGCCAGGGCAGACAAGAATTGACATTGATACCCTCAAAGGGCCGCGGGTGAAGTGAAGGATCGTGAATGGACGAATAGACGAGAAGAAGATGGAAGGAAAGAGGAATGAGGAAAAGCACGACCACGGCGACGCCCCTCGCTTAGGTTTTGGATGAGAGCCTTGGAATGCGGAACAATTGACGTGGGATCTCTTTGAGACATCCCTGAAGCAGAAAAGGCTGGTGTCTTGGATTCGCTCAATAACAGGTAACAGGGAAAGACTATCTATTGCTGATGATATGCAGCGCGCACGCGCCCGAGTACCTCCCTTATTGACGATTTGTGCCTCCTTGCGTCGAAGACCGGGCGGCAGGGCGTCCCGAAACTCTATTTGGGATAGTCCTTCAGGTGGTAGCTCTTCAACTTGACGAACTGGTCGAAGCCATACTTGCTCAACGTTTGACCCTTGCCCGAGTTCTTCCAACCAGTCCAGGCCAGATCCTGAGAGATGCGCGTCAGTGAAACGAGGTGGTTGATTGTTGTCGCAGGACACAAAGGTACTTACAGGGCTGGGGAAATCGCAACGGTTCACGAAAACTGTCCCTGCCTCTACTTCCTCGGCGAGTTCGTATCCCTTGGCCGTGTCCTTGGTCCAAATACTGGCAGTGAGGCCGAATTCGCTGTCGTTCATCAACTGAATTGCCTCGGCATCGCTCTTGACCTTCATGACTGGAATGACGGGACCAAAAGTCTCGTCCTTCATAACGGTCATGGTGTGATCCACACCGGTCAGCAATGCCGGTGCGACAAAGTTACCTTTGTCTGGCAGAATGCTGAATGTCTCATTCTCGGGTGTCGCATTCTTGGCGCCCTTGTCGAGCGCGTCCTTGATGTGTGCCTGGATGGTCTCCTTGGAGCGCGCCGAAATGACTGGGCCAAGATGCGTTCCTTTATCCAAGGGATCTCCAAGCTTGTATCCCTTAAGAACGTTCTGGACAGCCGCAATAAAAGCGTCGTGGATCTTCTCGTCAACGTACACTCGCTCAATCGAGCAGCAGCTTTGACCCGAGTTGAAAACTGCGCCGTCGACAATCTCTTCGGCAGCCCAGGCAATATCGACATCACCGCGAACATATGCAGGGTCCTTGCCACCCAGCTCGAGGCCGACGTTGACGATGCGATCGGACGCGGCCTTCTGGACGGCCAAGCCACCAGCGACCGAGCCGGTAAAGCAAATATTGGCAATCTTGGGGTTTCGCACAATTGTTTCAATAACTGTCGGCGAACCCGAGTGGAAGTACTGAATGACTCCGTCGGGCAACCCAGCCTCGGCAAACACCTTGGCCACCTGCTCGACAATTGTGGGTGTCTGAGGCGAAGGCTTGAGAATGACCGAGTTTCCAGACAATAAAGCTGGAATCAAGGCGTTGACGAGAATAAGATAGGGGTACTGCTCAAAGTTAGAGGTGATGGATGGAGTGTCAAAACAACATGATGGACACTACTTACGTTCCAAGCAAAGATGATGAGAACAGGACCAACAGGCACCTTTCGGATGAACCTCTTGAATCCTTTCTCCTCCTCGCCATCGGTGTCCTTCAGAGCATCGTTGCTGATCTTGAGCAGATACTCTGAGCGCTTGATGGCAGTGGCAACCTCCTTGGCAGTATAAGCAATGGGGCGGCCCATCTGGACGGTGAGTTCCTCTGCAAGTTCATCCTGCTTCTCAGCGAGCAACTTCAACGCCTTCTTGACGATGATCTGTCTGTCCTCCAACTTGGTAGTGCGCCATCCTTGGAAGGCCTTGAAGGCAGTCTCGGGCAGTTGGACGAGTTCCTCCTCTGAAATGCCATTGCGAGTGATGATGGGTTCGCCCGTGGTGGGAGAGATGGTGGTGATCACCTCGACCGACATTGTTACGAGTAGGCTTATCGGCTAGGTAGTGAGTGATAAGGATGGTGAAGTGGGATGCAGTGTTGGTTGTCACAAGGAGGAAGAGAGAGTCAAAGGGAAAGAAAAGACACAGTCCAGTTACTACTTTGTATAATTATACGGTCTCGTTATATCTTCCACAAGAAGAAAAGAGCAAACCGACTCGATTCCCATGACCCAATGACACCATGTCGCCCCTCCCGTCGCCGTCTCACTAACAAACAGGAACACGACATCACACTGCCGCACGCAGAGTGGCTCCCGCTCCGTTTCTCGGCGGCAGGCCGGGGGAGCTTTGATAAGATAAAGAGTTGTTGGTAGCGGGGTCGTCTGCAGTGCATGGTGGACTCCACCTCGGAAGGAACCTAAGGCGGGGCGAGGATCGGCCACTAACTTACCATACTTATCTCTTATCGGCCCTGCGTGCACGGTCCCTTCTTGCTTGCGGCCCCCAGTGGAGCCAGAAATTTTGAGAAACAGCAGCAGCCATGTCCGTCCAGCGCTTCCACGCCAAAAGAAGACTTGGGAATCGCGTCGTGATCTTTCTCCAACGCAAACAAACACTGCCCTAAATCTCCCCATAACGATCCAATTCGACCTACGAAACTTTCAGCATCCGACGAAAAGTTCACGAATCAGAAACACAAGTCAATTATCTATCAACAATGCCGGAGGACGATATTAGAAACAAGTTCCTCGATGCTGGCGATAGCGACGACGATGCGGGCCACGGTTCCGACTCGGAGGATGATTTCCAAAAGGGTGGCCGTAACGCCAAGCGCAGAAGAGTGAGCGATGACGAGGACAGCGAAGCCGGCGACTTTACCGACGCAGAGGAGGAGCACGACCAAGATGATGCTGAAAACAAGGACGCATCTGCAAAGGACGGCCAGGAAACAGCAGATGGAAAGGAAAAGAAGGATGGAAAGAAGGACAAGGAGAAGGAGAAGAAGTCGGTACTAGCGAGTGACCTTCCGGGCATGACGAAGCCTCTCACAAAGAAGAATCTCATCGTCACGGAGGAGGCCATCAAGAAGTCGGGAGTAGTGTACATCTCCAGGGTACCACCTTTCATGACTCCTGCCAAGTTGCGCTCGCTGTTGGAGCCGTACGGAAAGCTGAATCGCATATTCCTGGCCCCCGAGGACCCAGTTCTGCGGCGCAAGCGCATTCGCAGCGGAGGCAACAAAAAGAAGATGTTTACAGAAGGCTGGATTGAGTTTGTCAAGAAGAAGGGTAAGTGTCATCATTCCGCGAGATCCGCTGAGACCCAAGTACAAAGACGCTAACAAGAAAACCCGTTTGTTTGCAGACGCCAAAAAGGCATGCGAACTCCTTAATGCCCGTCCAATCGGAGGCAAGAAGGGATCCTACTACCGCGACGATATCTGGAACCTGCTCTACCTCAAGGGTTTCAAGTGGCACAACCTGACCGAACAAATCGCTGCTGAGAACGCCGAGCGATCCAGCAGGATGCGCGCTGAAATCTCCAAGACAACCAAAGAAAACAAGGAGTTCGTCCGCAACGTGGAGAGGGCCAAGGTGCTGCAGGGTATTCAGGCAAAGAAGGCGTCCAAGGGCAGCAAGGAGGGCGGTGAGGGTGCCGCCCAAGTCACAGAATCTACTACTCCCTCTGCGGCGACGACGACGACGACGACAACAACAACAAACGACGATAAGAGGAGAACATTCAAGCAAATACCCCTGGCCAAGAAGAGGAAGCTCGATGAGACACAGCCCGAGCAAGTACAAAGAGTACTCAGCAAGATCTTTTAACCTTTTCGTTTGGCCCCCGAACAAATAGGTTTGAGACACGGAGCGTTCATGTAGCTGTGGGATTTTTTTCGTCAAAGCGACTCCGAGACATTAGAGATGGGTGGTGTTGATTTTCTTTTCCTTAGGCAATTGTATATATTTCTCTGCCTTCAGTCATCTTGATACCCAACCTGATTTCCTTTTGCTATGAGAGCATCTCCATTTCCGTTACTTTGTCATATCCCTACTCATCGACGCTGCACAGAAACCGGCCGGCGTTTAGTCCAATTGGCCCACCATGAGCACATCCCGAATCCCAGCCACGAGGAAGAGTGCCCCTGACGACACGGCCAACACTCGATACAATTTCACCAATTGTCCTGTCGCAAATGCTTTCAATAGGGGATCATATTTCACGACTCACCCGACTTACTCCCTGAGCATACTTCAAGGACTCATCCAGCGTATGCTTGACGTAGATAAGGAAGGTTGCGAACATTGCTCAAAACGTCGCTGGGATACCATACTCCAGTATACGTCCTGGTCAAACTATATTGTTAGGCAAATCCGCAAAGACCCCCTTTGTCGTTATCTGAGTGAAGATCAGATGCACAAGTTCTTCCACGCATGTATTCAGACGGTCGAGAATGGGTGTACTTTGTGGGAACATATACACCTTTTGAAACCTAGTTGTTGTGCTGGGCGTGGCTCGTCCATGGACGAAAGCCTGGAAATGACCATATCTTCATCCAGGTGGTTTTCAAGTAGTACATCCTCAGCATCCAAAGAGACCATCAGTTCGGCAACTCAAACACCCCTATCTTGGTCAAGAAACACCTCTCCCGAGCGGGAAGCGACTCCTCGTTTTGTTTCCCCTGCTCCTCCACCCCCAACAAAATCGGACCTTGTGCTTTTCCAGCCAAGGACAGTTAGCATCCTGCCGGTAACCAGTGACTGGTTGTCCAGACTCCGCAAAATTTTCAGTTTCTACTGGCAAAAGTTTATTTACGGACCCTTCGCCTCCCTCTACCGGTGGTTCTGGGACACACACGCCAATCCTATGGGCTCCACCTTCGGGTCACGTCTTGGGTTAAGAGTACCAACCTTTTACCCTTTTGTCCCGAACGAGAGACAGTCAAACTCGCAGAAGCTATTAGAATGGCCAATCTCGTCAACACCACCAGCAACCCCATCTGCACAGAGTGTTGTCAACAACGACGATAACAGCAAGGAGATAAATGAAGATCCGACGCCAGCAGACCGAATGGTCAAGACAAGGGAGGAGGTCAAAGATATGTGGTGGAAGGTGATGGCCAAAATCCTGTTGGCCGAACACCGTGAGCGGAGGGAGAAAGAAGCGATGGCTTCAACTTGGGAGAGGGCGAGCGCAGCAAGTGTTACGGAGAGTACCTCTAGGCCGTCTTCTGCTATTTCGTTTGTGAGTAGCGAGGGAAGTGATTGCTCGCTGCGTCCTGAGGACTGCTTCTCGACCGTTGGCTCAAGGTGTGGTCACTCACAAGATAGGGATCAAGAATCTGTTCAACCTGCTACCAGCAATTCCTTGAACCCTGAATTCGAGGAATGGTATGCCGAGTGGTTCTCTCATTGGGTGTTGGAAACTTCTCGCAAGCTCAGGTCCCCAGAATCAGAGGATAGATTCTCTTGCTATTCATTTTCTTCGTCAGCAGCGCCGGTGAATGACAGCGATCATCATGAGGACAGCAACGCCTCCGATGACGACGACGAGATCACGGACATCCGAACCAGACCCTCCACACCGACACCGCTTTCCTCGCTTACTATTTGCCCCCTCCGTGGTCGAGATCGATACCGCTGCCTTTCTCTGTCCCGATCATCCTCCAATTCTTCACCCAGTCCAACTCCGAACACCAGCATCCCCTCTTCTCCGGTCGCTGGGTTGTTGCACTCTCCACGTCGCTACCGCTCACCTAGTCCAACTCTCCGTCACGGAATCCCCTCTTCCTTGGATATCACCAACTTCCCCCTTCCTCCTCCTTCAACCATATCCCCAGTGTTCCCTACCTCTTCATCTTCTTCATCTTCCTCCCGCTCTTCCTCTCCAATACAACCCCCTCAGCACGAAGACCAACGCGACCCCGAACCTCCCCAATCCCCCCAAGCCACTTCCCCACCGATACCCCGTCCCCGTCCCCGTCCCCTCCTAAACGCCAAAACAGAAGACTACCTCTCCAATGCACACCTCCTCCGCTTTCCCGCCACCGTGTCCGCTCGGCTGATGATGACTGCCGAGACCCTGGGGGTGGCGGGCGAAGGCAAGAGGAAGCTGGTTAGTGAGTTGCAGAGGACTCCTAATCCTACGCCGGCGGTGGTTGAGACCAAGTGGCAGAGGAGGGCTAGTGAGGAGGTTAAGGGGTTTGATTGGGGGTTTGGGATGGGTGGTGAGAAGGAGGAGGACGAGGAGGAGGAGTATGAGGAGGAGGAGAAGGGGTATGAGACGCATTGAGTTTGTCTGGGGGAGGGTTGGGTGGTTTTTGGTGGGCTTAGAGGGATTGGGATGGAGTAATTGGGGTGTGAAGTGTGAAGTGTGAAGTTTGTTATGTTGTTTGGGTGTCTGCTGTTTTTTTTTTTTTTTTTTTTTTTTTCTAGGGGTTATGGTTTTGTATGGTAATGATTGAATGGTTTTGTAGAGATAGAGTGCAGTTTTGTTTGGGGTATAGTTTGCTAGATAATTTCCGGTCGAACTTGATTGGATTTTCCGAGCATGTTGAACTTGCTGCGAAAACCTAACGATATAGGTGAGTTTGGGGGCCTTCGGGTTGTAATGCGCCTTTGATTTGCAATGTTACTCTCGTGGAGTCAGGGACTTGTCAACATTCACATGGTCGCATTCAAGAGACGATGATTCCTATTCAGTTGTTGTAATACGCATGAATAAATCTAAGGGGTATCTACGAAGCTCTAACGAATGTTTTGATAGAAGCAATTGCGTCTAGATGCTGATTACGTGATCCTCCTATGTCCCTTGTTATCATTCCTTCTGTAGCTCAGGCCATGCCGTAAGGTCCCTGCCGAAATATTTTCAACATTTTGATTGTAGCCATCCGACCCTAAACTCCATTCGCCTGAGCCAGTTGTCCGGTGACTCGCCATGCTGCCTGCCACCACGAAATAAAAGCCAAAATTGTGATTATGAGAACCCATGCGAGGAAATGAACGTGCTGGGTATGTGAAGTGACATGAGGGGTTGGTGAGCATGTCGAGTGTGCTCAGTTCTCGACGACCTCGGTCTGGACGGCCTGAAGAACTTCGCCCTCGTCAATCTTGGCGGTCTCCTTCATTGAGGGCTCCTGGTCAACCGCCTCGTCTGGGATATGGATGCCGTACTTCTCGTACGGGAAGTCGATCAGACTAGGAAGGTAATCGGCCCAACCATCATCGATCTCGCCCGGCTTTTCGTTGTCCGCCTCAGCGGACTTCTCGGTGTCGGCCTTGGCAGTGCCGTTGATAAGGTCGGCTTGAGCTTTCTTCGTCTCAATTTCGGCCTGATTAAGAAGCCCAGCGAGAACCAGCTTCACGTCGCCATTCTTATCCACCTCTTGCTTGAGCATGGGGTGGGGGCACCACACAACGCGCATGCCGGCACGACGACCGGCCTCGACGCCGGGAATGCTGTCTTCGAAGACAAGGCATTCCTCGGGAGTGATGGGCTTCTCGCCCTCAGGAAGCGAGTCGTTGATTGTCTTGAGGGCAATTAGGTAGATATCGGGAAGAGGCTTGCCGCGGCCCTGCGGGATACGCTTATCGTCACCAAGAACGCGACGGTGGGTCTCGAAGACCGAGAACAATTCGGTCAGATGGTTGGTCTTCATACGGAAGTTCGCCTCGTGAGAAGAGGTGGCGAGAGCGATATGCACGCGGTGAGGCTTTTGTGCGGGCTTCTGGATGGCGCCGTTGGTGGTGGTCGCATCCCCCTTTAGATCCCAGTAGCGGGTGCTACCAAGCTTCTGTAGAAGCTCCTCGACACCGGGAAGAGCTGAGGTAAATTGGAACTTCTGAGCTTGAAGAGCATAATACTCCTCCTTATACTGCTCACGAGTGATGGGCAGATCGGCCCAGTTGTGGAAGATGTCAAGGGCCGCAGGACCGGGGCGACCTTGAAGCTGAGCCTTGATGCTCCAAGGCAATGGGAACTTCTCCTTTTTATGCTTCCGCAGAAGCTCGTTGACGCAGAGAGTATAAATATCCTCAGTGTCGAGGAGAAGGCCGTCCATATCGAACAGGCAGGCCCGGACGGGAGGGAAACTGAATGAAGACGTTAACATCAACCGATCGATTGTAAAGTGAGATGGCGCAACTTACTCGGTGCGGGGTGCCATTGTGGAGGTTGAGACACACAAAGTCTGGGGGTGACTGAATAATACTGGTAGGAGTGCCGGGTGGAGGACGGATTTGTTGTCGAGACTTGCTTTCGAAGAGGAAGTCTTGATCCGGGTTGTGTTTGGAGTAAGTGGAAAGTGCAGAATTTGTGGTGGGAAGGGGAGTCTTTTATATCTAGGACAAGAAATTATTTGGGACTCGCGCCAAGGGTCGTCGAGGGCAGTGAAGGAAGGTGAAGGCTATCGGGTAAACAGAGAAAGGTTGGTGAATGTCGATGGGGCCAACAGATTGAAGAAGGGCCTCGTACAAAGAGCTAAGTGAAGGGGAATTATGAACCTTGGACAACGGCGCGCGTTGTTGGGAAGGGTCGGTGAAGTGTAAATGATAGATGTTGCGAAGGGTCGTTGGATGGGATGAGTCGTCGGTTTTGTTGTTTGGGCAATCGGTTGGCCCGTCCCGTCCCCCGGCATCGAAAAAGTTGGAGACAGCTCCAGGTCCCGCAATCGGGCCCCTCCCCGCCCTACACACAACGGGAGCGTGTGCGGGGGACCCCGGCGCCCCTCTGCTACCCCTGATTCTAGGAAACCTTGATAGGCGGCTGGCTGGCCGATGCTGTCCAGGTCTACCAGGTTGTAAACGGGAAGAAAATGTGATGATCTGATCTTCAAAACATGATGAACACCAGTGAGTTGCATTTGTGTAACTTTCAGCTTGAAAAGGAAGGTTTGCGTTGGTCCAAAAAGAATTGCAGCTGCCAGCCTCGCTCCTTCCCGTCATATGAGACATCGAAATGCTCCAGCTTCTAGGTACCATGGATACTAACTGAATGCCACACCACGCAACAATTTGAGCTGTGACATGGAAACACAGTTGCTCGCACTTGTTATTTTGACCTGGACTAACACATCTGTAAGTCTATAGACTGAAATCGATTTTCTTCGAGGAGTCGACGCGGGATCTTTCGGACCTTTTCTTCCCCTGTCATCTCCAAAAGACCCCGCTGAAAAGTTAATAGACGTGTGATGAAGCAGAGATAACAGGTGATACAACATGTGTAAGATTCGAATTTATACATCGGCCTTGGCTTTGAGCCGCATTGTACCTGCTACGCAGTGATGGTGGTCCTACCGCGTACTTGGAATTCCTGGTAACGAATATTTTCTTATTCTTCCATTCCACCGCATTTTTACCCGGTTATGGACGGTTTACTACTGACGTCGTATCCGAACGGAATTGCGATTGAGTGAATCCAGTGCAGTCAGTGGCCAGCTGTTGTTCAGCAGTGACTTCATCGGATTAGGTACCAGATAACTTCACTTCGGATTCTGATACCAACAGACGTAAAGATCCACTTTTGCCAAGACATGCGATGCCTAGCTAGGTAGCTGCCGTGCCCAAGCTCAGGTCCAGCGTAAATGCCCGCTGCCCGCCCCTGACAGCTTCCGTCCGCGCGCGGCTTCTTATCTCGCATGTCCCAGGCATCAACTCATCCTCGCAAACCGCCTTCCTTCTACGGACCTCCTTCCAGCTTTCACTCCGAGCTACTGAAAGATTTTACCATTCCGATACCGGCAACCTTTAGCACTTCAATAACAAACCTGCTTTGAAAATGAGTTCCGAAACGCCTGATGACAAGTTTAAAGAGAAGAAGGACAAGGATCCTCAAGCAGAGGAAGAAAATGATAAATCCCAGCAGGCCGACATCAAATTCTCACCTGAAGAAGAGGCTGCAAGTACCCACGACCAAAAGCAACAACAACAAAGACCCTCTTGATGCCCAAACCTCTGTGACTGACCGCCTCAGCAGGAATTGGTAGCTGAGTCCAACACACACAAAGCAGAGGCAAACGCCCTCTTCACCTCGGGCAAATACGATGCCGCCCTCAACAAATATGACGAAGCCATTGCTGTTTGTCCAAACTACCTGGACTATCCCTTGGCCGTCTTGCGCTCCAACGTGGCCGCCTGTCACCTCATGCTGGAAGCTTGGAAGGATGCCGTCACGCACGCCACCAAAGCTCTGGACCTGCTTGATAAGCTAGAGCGGGAGGACAAGCTGGCTGCCGAGAAGGAAGAGAAGGAAAGAGAAGATGTCGAAGAGGAGATTGTCAGCGCTGGCGCAGCAAAGGCCGGACCCGCCGTTCCTGTCACGGAAACTGAGGCGCAGATTGCCCGCCAGAAGCGACTAGAGGATATTGCCAGGATACGGGCCAAAGCTCTGCTACGCCGGGCCCGGGCAAGGAGCGAGCTGGGTGGATGGTCCACCCTCGAGGGAGCTATTGAGGATTACAAGAAGCTGTCTGCCATGACCAACCTTACGGCTACCGACCGAAAGCTCGTCCAGGCGCAACTCAGAGCACTGCCACCCCGGGCCAAGGCTGCTCAGGAGAAGGAGACTGCTGAGATGTGGGGCAAGTTGAAGGACCTTGGGAATGGGTTGCTTAAGCCGTTTGGTCTTAGCACTGACCATTTCAAGATGGTGAAGGATGAGAAGACCGGCGGTTACAGCATGAATTTCCAGGGAGGTGGTGGCGAAGGCAAAAAGTAATGTTGTGAATCTTGATGAGGGTCAGGGTTCTCGCGATGCCTACTAGCGTCGTGGTTAAGGATAGATCAATGGCTTCTTGATAATCCTCCAGGCACCCAGCTATATGCACCTCGGACTGGGAAAGCTAATTTTTCAGAGTCACCTGAAAAAAACATCGACCAGTAGTCAACACGAATCGACAGTTGAATGTCAACAGATCGACAAGGGAGGAGATGATCAGGAGCTACAGCTGCATAACAGTTGGCCGGAGCTAAAGCTCCATAAGTTTGAGGCTGATTAATTGGTGTGGCGAAGCCGGCAGTGGAACGCCACAATTGTACGTACTGCACTGGCTTGTGCTAAGTGGGAAGTGGAATACTGGACGGTACCTAGCCGATAGCCGATAACGAGTTGCTTATCAATGCAGCGCGGGGCGATTTGGTGCTGGGCCCATCAAGAAATTTATTGACGACCGTCCCGTCGGCGCTTTCAACGTTCCCCCCAGCGACTCGTTCTCGTCCTGGTCCATTCAAATTTCCAGTCGTCGACTTCTTTCTAATCCGCCGGCAACTTCACTTGTGATTGCGACGGAACTCTCAGGTTTTCCTTTTCACGACATAGCGACTTTTGTTTGTTTTTACAATTGATACCCCGGTTCATATCTTGTCGCAAACCACAACTTCATTAATCATGGATCTCGACGCTCCTATGGCCATGGCCCCGTTGATGGGCTCTGCCAGGACAGGTGCTACGTGAGTCTTGATTTGAAAATCGAATGCTATTGAGGACAGGATTGCTGACCCAATTCATAGCATTCTCTGCTGCAACTGCGGCGCTCCCATCGATGGCACATCCTCCGCCGGCGCTCTTTGCTACGACTGCATCAAGTCCACCGTCGATATTTCCCAAGGCATCCAGCGCGAGGCCACCCTCCACTTCTGCAAAGATTGCGACAGATGGCTCCTACCCCCCGCCAGCTGGGTCACAGCCGCCCCCGAATCGAGAGAGTTGTTGTCGCTATGCTTGAAGAAACTGAGGAATTTGGGCAAGGTCCGCATCACAGACGCCAGGTTCATTTGGACAGAACCCCATTCGCGAAGAGTCAAGGTTCAGGTTACGGTTCAGGATCAGGTGGCGGATGGTGTGTTGATGCAGCAAAGCTTCGAGGTCACTTACGTCGTCGCCAGCCAGCAGTGCAAGGACTGCGCCAAGTCATACACAGCCAACGTCTGGCGCGCCGCCGTACAGGTCCGCCAAAAGGTCACCCACAAGAGGACGTTCCTTTTCCTCGAACAGCTCATTCTCAAGCACCAGGCTCATCGCGACACAATCAACATCAAGGAAGAGAAGGACGGTATCGATTTCTACTTTGCCCAGAAGAACCAGGCTGAGGGATTCATCAGCTTCTTGAAGTCCGTCGTACCAGTTCTCACCAAGGAGTCGAGGCATCTTATTTCCGCGGATACACACACCGGCAACAAGTCGTACAAGTACAACTACTCCGTCGAAATCGTGCCTGTTTGCAGAGACGATCTGGTTGCCCTTCCTCTCAAACTCGCCAAGTCCATTGGCAACATTTCTCCCCTTGTCCTTTGCCACAGGATAGGAACATCTGTCAACCTCCTCGACCCCAACACCCTCCAGACCGCCGAAGTCAGCGCCGATATCTACTGGCGTGCTCCCTTCCACCCGCTTGCCGGCACTCCCGATCTTGTTGAGTTTATCGTTATGGATATCGAGTCCACAGGCGTACGAAAAGGAAAGTGGCTTCTCTCCGAAGTCCAGGTCGCTCGTGCCTCCGATCTCGGCGTTAACGACAACGTTTACTTCACTCGCACACATCTCGGCCAGCACCTCCACGCCGGTGACTCGGTGCTGGGTTACATGCTTGAGGGCACCAACTTCAACTCGGACGCGCTCGAGGCGATTGAGAGCTCCAAGGCGTACGGTTCCATGATCCCTGACGTCGTTCTCGTCAAGAAGCACTACCCGAACCGCCGCCGCAACAGAAAGAGAAACTGGAAGCTCAAGCGCATGGCCAAGGACGAGGGCGAGCTGCTGCCCAAGGCCTCGGACCAGGCCAAGATGGATGCCGAGTACGAGATGTTCTTGCGCGATGTCGAGGAGGACGAGGAACTTCGTGCTGCTCTTGCTCTGTACAAGAACTCGCTCAAGACCAAGAGGGAGGCGGATGCCATGAGCATTGCCGATACGGACATGATGACGGAGGCTGAGGAGGATGGCCCCAAGATCAGCATGGACGAGCTCCTCGATGACTTTGAGGACATGGAGATTCAGGACAAGGAGTAGGATGTGATGTCGACTGGAATCTGACAACTGAATGTGAATGGCTTTGGGTTTCGGGGTAAATCAAAATTCTGGGAGTTAGCTGTTCTTTAGGGTTTGCATTTTTCAGGAATTTCATGAATAGATTCGGGAACGGGCTTGCCGTGTTGGCGCCCTCTGCATCCAATACCTTGTTGTTTCTATCAGTCGTGAATGCATAGACGTGGTTGAAAAGGATGGCACGACCGTCAAAGTACTATTTCAACGAGGATGTGCAACTTGCTTGTCATGTACGATGACCTTGGTCAGTCAAGGCCTAGTGTTACACATCTGCTCAAAAGGTCTTTCATCCGCCTGTTTATTTTGTCGCCTTCGGTCATCATCAATTATGAAGAGGCTTATTGCGAGTCCTAACGAAGGTTCCAAGATAAACAAGCCCAGAAAGAGGAGAATATATCACAAAATGCGTGGGATTTTGAAAGATGATCCAAAGGGGGCAAAGAGACAATGAAACGAAAAAGAAAGATGGAAAAAAGTAAAGAACAAAAGAAGAGAACCAGAAGGTTGATCGTTATCGCTCGGATACCGGGAGTCGAACCCGGGGCTGTTGAGAAAACAGACACTTGTAAACAAGTGAGAGTCAACGATGTTACCGCTACACCATACCCGATGGAGGATGGCTTCCGATTGTTTGATGCTTTTGTCGCCGGGAGTTGTGTTTTTGAACTGGGAAAGCAAAAATCGTTGATTGATTGTGTGGTGGAGTTGAGGGTTGGTGGCGACATGGGTCAGGGGTTCAGCAGTGGTGAGCTAGAAGGAAAAAGGGAAAAGGGGTTTGTTTACTTCGTGATAGGTTGGGTTTCTTGGCTCGAGGGTCCCATTTCTCGAAGACTCGGTCTTTTCTTTTCTTCTTTTGATGGTTTCTTTTAAATCCATCGTTCTCATCCCTGGGCCATCTTCAAGCCAGAATACCTAGAGGTAAGTATGGCTGGCGGATGTTAGTCAGGCGGGGAGGTGCGAAGTCCGCACGGAAAACTCTCCCCAATTCCTTTTTGATCCTTCCCTTCCTACAAGTTACTTTCTACCGGGAAGACGAGCGGCTCTGACAAGTGCTTCCCAGAATTGTTGAGGTAGGTCGCAGAAAGCCGGCAGGGGTGAGTGATTTATACTGATTTCAAAATACCGAGCTTTTGTCGGCGCGCAGGACCTAACTCTGCTCGGGCTTTTCTTCTGTTATTTTCCAGACCAGGATTTGTGGACACAACCAGCCTTCAAATGCCACGGGCAAGTTGTTCGCAATTACCATCCTGAACCCTCCGAACCACTTCTTTTCCGACAACTTCAATTCCGAACATCCCCGGTATTGTTCCCTCTGGCCTACAATCAGGCGAAGACCTACACCCCCACTGGTACTTTGTGATGTTAGTATCATGAGAATCGTCAGATCCATGGGTCCTAGAAAGACCTTCGAGCCAAGTTACACGACGGCATGAAACGCGCAAAAAAGAAAACAAGCATGTTGAGATGTTTGTTCATCTACAATGACCATTATCAGCATCGGCCCTCGCCCAAGGCTGCCAGGCAATAACAGGGGTCGGACAGACAAGAACAAACAGGTCTTTTTTTCAATCAACCATAAAGGTTGATGATTTGCTGTTTTTGAACGAACGAAGCAGCAATCAAAACGACCAAACCTCGTCAACAACTAAATATTTACTACGGAAACGAACAAATGCTATGAACAGCCAGTAACAGGCAACATGGCCCGGTTAACGTCCGTGTGGCGCATTGTTCTATTTTCTCCTTCGCTCCCGTCCCGTGCGACTGTTCGATCCTTATGCTTTGTTTTGAAAAATTCCGAACATCGGATAGAGGTATACATTTCTTTGTTCCAAGATTGTTTGATGGACACTTGAACCAAATGATGCCTTACAGTAGTGAGTGAGCCGCGTCCTTCTTTGTCTTTATATGTCCATGATCAGCGCATTTACCCCCTCGTGATTGTTACTAGCCGGCCGGATAGACGGGATGCAAGAAGTGATCTTAATGTTCGGCGGTGATTGTTCAAGGGAGTGCGCAAAACATATACTCTCCGGGGGACACATGGACAGACGTTGAGTCGGTTGTTGGATTTCTTGTGATTCACTCTTTCTCAACGATTATTCCCATAGCCAGTCGACAGATGTGGCTGAGAAGAAGCCTTACCGGACCCATATCAAACCATTCCACTCTCTTCAAGCACGAACGACGCATCAGGAGAACAACATTCGGGGAATTTGGAGGTTGATGATTGATGAAGATTGTCATCAGACAACTTGGCAATGCGGTATTGGCAGCGATGATAACGACATACCAATCGATGAACAGAGCCAGCAGCCGAGGAAGAAGCATGTCTCCGCCGGAACTTTTTGAAAGAAGATACAGTACTCATCAACGGCTCATAGAACGAGAAGAAGATCACGGAGAAGACTCGGGTTCCGGAGACGAGTCAGGTAACGGCAGTGACTCTGATGTGGGCGATGATGGGAGGGTTAGCGATGAAGATCCTTCCCCCGCTGAGGGCGAGGACGACAACGAGGAGCGAACGGTCACAGAAGAACGCACCATAACCAAAAAGCACACGGCCACGCAAACGGTGACCACAAGCCCGACGGCAAGTGATGCCCAGAAGCTCTATCACTCGCTTACCCCGGATTTCAAGTCACATCTGGAACCAGCAACCTGGTCACGATTCATTCGACCACATACTGCAGGTAAGGGATTTTCTTTCATTGCAATCGTAAACACCACGGACCCACCCCTCGCAAATACACCGGAGTCAGCCTCGATTTCTTCCCAAGAGCACACGACCACGAGAACGGTGACCACGAGCCCGATGGTAGATGATGGGAAGCAAGCCCGTTTAGGTTACAGCAGATGTGTCTGAAGTATAACATTCTCCCAAACTCAAGGGCAAACGACTATGGGAAAGGAGCAACGCCCGCCGGAAGCAGTGGAAACAGACTCACCTTATCACCCCGAGCGGTCATCAATAGTACAACTAACTAACCTGACATTGTGTGAAGTTCTAGACATTAGCGGTATCGCAGCGTCCACTTCGGGACCTATCCCTACAGAAGCTTCAACGTCATCCAGCTCAACGCCACCGGTGACGACAACCACCAACCCTAAAAGGAAGTCCTTCCCGTCTACGACGTTGATTTCACCTGTGTATCCGACAACATGGGACAGTCAGGACTTTGCTGGCGAAGCAACGACGGGAATCGACGCGACAGTAGTACGCGGAGGCCCGTCGCCGTCGCATGGTGATGACAGCAGTGGCCATAAGAATCGCCCTTCAAGCCCAAAAACAACACCAACAACTGTAGATGGGATCACGACACCAGGTGTGTTCAAAAAATTCTGTTGAACCTGATCCGTTCTCCATCGGAAGCCTTTGGATAGTTGCTAACCCCGAATTAGAGACCTTTTCAACACGCTCTGAACTCCCGGTTACCTCGCCTACCTTAGGTACACACCCGGCGGACAGTGTGAAAGCCTCTGAAGGAAAGCAGAAGAGTTCGTCAGGCGATGTGCTGAAGAAGGGAGCCATCATTGGCGCTATAGGTAAGTGTCTTTACACACACTTCTTACCTAGACAAACTCACTGACCACGGTTCTCCATCGACTGTTTAGCTGGCCTCGTGGTCTTCGGCGTCCTCCTCTTCTTCCTCTGGCGCAAGCGCAAACACAACAAGAAGCGCCACAACAATTTTACGTCCAGTAATATCCTTACATCAACTTCAAAGAGTGCCGAAGAGCTCCCAGAAAAGGACCCTTACCCGTTTGATGACAAGGTTGGAAGAGGAAGCATTGGCAGTGAAAGCATCGGACGAACGTCCCAAAGAACTTTTGAAGGTGTCGCCACAGCCATCCGCACTTCGATGCGGCAATCCGTCAGCGATGTCAGTGTCGGCGCTACAGATCCCGGCCCCGTCAGCCCTGTCAGCCCCAGTGGTGATGCTGCCAGTCTCGGTGGTCTTTCGTCCCTTTCGCGCCGGTCGAGTTTCTCGTATGCCTCGGACGATTACTTCTGCGGAGAGAGTGCTACCAGCACCGCGAGCAGCATCTGCCAAGCCACTGCGCTGACATACACAATACCGGGGCGGGTAACACCCGTCATACCTGCATACCCGGCTACGGCGAGAATTGTGAATCTCTCACAGAAGCCTCAGAAGCCAGAGTTGGTGATGGTGAGGAATACTAGGAATAGTAGCACTGCGGAGCTTCTGGGTTTGAGTCGGAATCCCAGAAACAGTACAATTGGAAAACCTGGGAAGGGACAGTGGGATAAAGAGGCTTGTGGATGTGGTGGTAATAGGGCGTCGAAATCGCCGGAGGTATCACCACCACCGATGGCAGCAAGGACTCTGTATGAAGCTCTCGGGGGTTCAGGACCAGGACCGACATCCCCTCCTTCATCGTCGAGGCCAGTCACATGGATGAGACAGCCGCCGCCATTGTCGACAGCGAGGAATTCGGCATCATCAGCGTTTGTACCTTCGCCGGTTGTGGGAATACAGATGCCGGGTAGTAATAGAAGGAGTTCTTCAAGTTGATGGAACTTTTCGTTGAGTTGGAGAGTTGTTTTGGGGAGAAAGTGAGAAGAGGGAAAAGGCTTATGAAAATTAGCCATGTTTGCGGGTTGGTATATATTGTCCGTACATTAAATAGTCTAAACCTTTCCAACATCTGGGTTACTGTACACTTATTCCTTGTACAGTTACCCCAACTGATCGTCCATGCAGCTGGCCAACCCCTGACATGATTGTTTTTAACACATGTCAACCCCGCAGTCGCATTTGACGCCGTTATGCCCGCCGTCCCCAAAACTTCGCTGCAGATATCATCACAGGGGAAAAAGAGGATCCAATTCCATTTGTTTCGGTAAACATGTAAAAGAAAAAAAAAAAGCCGCTCGCTGGCGAGAGGTTCTTGCCTCTGTTCTTCTTTCTCTCTTCCTTTACTTTTTATTCTTTTAGTTGCCAAGAGTCATTTAGCAACACAATGCGGATGCAATCCACCAACGCCCTGTTTCGGCGCGCAACCTTGTCCTCGTCCACACTGTCCATTGTCCGACGATCCACCTTGACGGCCACACGCGGCTTCTCTTCAACCTCGACAACCCAACCCAGCGCAACCACGAACTCATCTGCGTCACTTCCACTTCGCACTCCCACACGAACCCAATTCCCAACCACCGCTGCCCCCTCTACATCGCGCACCATGGCCTCCGCCTGCAGCGCCAGCCCCTCCTCCTCCCCGGGCTATGAGAAGATCCCCAACACCTCGATCCGCATCCTCCGCACCGTCTCCTCCGTCCGCCGCTTCCGGAAGCCCCTAACCCTCGACTCGCGCTCCGTCGCCCTCGTCCCCACCATGGGCGCCCTCCACGCCGGCCATCTCAGCCTCATCCGGGCCGCCGCGCGAGACAACCACCACGTCATCGTCTCTATCTACGTCAACCCGGCGCAATTCGGCATTCGCGAAGACTTGGGCAGTTACCCTGTCACCTGGAAAGCGGACTGCGAGGCGCTGGCCAAGTTGGATCGCGAGCTTGCCGACGATGGAGAAAATCTGGGACGCATCTCGGCGGTTTTTGCGCCGACGACGGGGGAGATGTACCCTGCCGGGTTTCCCGGACAGGAACCGGATTCAAAGGGGTCGTTTGTCACCATCACGCCTGTCGGGGAAGTGCTGGAGGGGGCCAGCAGACCGACGTTTTTCCGGGGCGTGGCGACGGTCTGTATGAAGCTGTTTAATGTGTGCCAGCCCGACCGGGTGTATTTCGGGCAAAAGGATGTGCAGCAGACTGTGGTCATCAAGAGGCTGGTGCAGGATTTCTTGATGCCGATTGAACAGGTGGTGATAGTGCCTACTGCGAGAGACCAAGAAGATGGGTTGGCGTTGAGCAGTAGGAATGTGTATTTGGGCGAGAGAAGACGGAAAGTGGCGAATGTGCTGTATAGGGCGCTGAAGGCGGCTGAAGAAGCTTATGCGGCTGGGGAAGGGAAGAGAGATAGAGAGGGGGTTTTGGGTGCCGCCCAGAAAGTGATGGAGGAGACGTTGGCGGAGCAGATGAAGTTGAGCCCGAGCGAGAGGGTCAAATTTGAGGTGGATTATTTGAGCTTAGCGGATCCGGACACGATGCTGGAGTTGGAAGCGGTTGATACCAAGAAGGGAGGGATTTTGAGTGGTGCGGTGAGGTTTTTGCCAGTGGAGGAGCCAAAGGAGGGAGAGGATTTGGGACATAGTGGGGGGCCGCTGGTGAGGTTGATCGATAACATCATCTTGCCGCCTAAGTAAGGATGACGGGGTAGAGGTGAAATGGATATTTGGGTTGTTTGCTATACTATAGAGCTGTTGTTGTTAGAAAGCATTTTGCATGGGTTGGCGTAGAGTTCCCGTTGAGACGCATGTTAGAATCACTTGCGATCAGCATTTCGTATAGACTTGTATTTGCGTGACATATCTATACAAGTTGAATAATTCTTATGTAGCTTGTATGCTGCGTCGAGGCCATTAAGCTTCCGTACTTCATCCCCGATGGTCTCCTTCTCCTCGGACTGCTCATGCTGGAGAGTGTTACCACCTCCCTCCAGAGCAGAACCACAAGTCCAGAGAGGCATACCTCCCTTCCCGTCTAGTCGGTCCTTCGACGTCAATGAACACCCCAGAGCCATTGGAACTGGGTGATCGTGGTGTTGGTTCCATTCATCCGTCCTTCTACCGCTTCTTGACTTGACCCCAAGCCACAGTAGTCCCGGAACAGACATGAAGGCCTCGCGGTCGCTAATCGCGCATCTTGCGCGTCTCGAATCGGCTTTTGATCCTGAGACACCCTCTCATGCTGCCTTATGGACAGACAAGCCGATACCGGTGGGAAGATGCAGCTCCCATTAACGATTTCTTGGCTACAACACCAGCAATTCTGTCCCCATAAGAGCTTGTCCCCGTAAGAGTTCGTGGCGACAGTCAGAATCTTGAGCACATTCGCTCACTGGCCGCATCAGGGCTCCCATGGGAACCGCCTTCGCTCCCGTTCCACGGCATTTCCCTAAAACAGCCGAGACAAACGAAGAGGTCGAGATTTTTGGGTTGTAGTATCGTATCGTGTGTCGTATCTTTATCCTCCTCTCCGCCTCATAGAATCTTGGAGAAGTGTGACCTGAACTTCTTGTTCGCGCGATCCGCCGACCGAAACTGGAACTGCTCGCCGTGTACTTCAAAGATCATCTTTGGTTGCTCGGCCTCTGTTTGTTGTTGCTGCTGCTTTTCGTCACTTTGTCCCTCCTCCACCGTCGCCGTCGGCACCCCTCCCAACGGCACCTCAATCCTAAACACCGTCCCCTCCTTCGGCACCAATTTCCTCTGATTCCGCCTCGTCACCACCTCAAACGTAAACCTTGAATCCTTAATCACGATCCCCTTCAACCCCACCCGACTCACACACCCACTCCTCACCACCTCGACCTCAGCACCATGAAAATCCGCGCTCGTCAACTTTGACGCCGCACCCTCGCCACCAGTGTGTATCTCGTTCCCCAATATCTCGCGGATGTACCCCAGCCAGAGCTGGTGGAGCGGCTCGAACAAGGCGTATCTCTGCCCCGAGCGGGGGACGTCGTAGAGGCCGAGCTTGCGGCGCTCGTTGGCCGAGAGCGGTTTGGGTTTTAAAGTCTTTTTGCGGGAGAGGCGCTTCTTTTCGCGTTCGCGGCGGCGGGCGGCGCGGGCGTCGGAGGGTGGAGGGGAGGATGGGCAAAGGAAGAGCGGGCGTTGTTGGATCTTTTCGGTGAGGATGCGTTTGGTTTCTTCGGGGTCATGGGCGCGCGAGAGGAGAACGGCGGCGATGGGTTGGTTTTTGGAGGAGGTCTGTGATGTTGATTCCATTGTGTATGTGATGGGAGGGAGGATGTTCCTCAGGTTACAGAGTCTTGAGTTCGGAGCGAATTGGGATCGATGTCGAGGGGTAGAATCGGTTGTCGCAAACGTCAATCAAGATGCTGATGGAAATTTCCCCAATTTCTGCGATGCCCGGACAAGTTCGAGACTTGTTGATAAGGGAAGAAGAAGGCGCCAAGATAAAAAGCTTCAGAAATCGGGCACCGCACCTTTCCCTGTCTGGCTTTAGCCTACTGCCCGCCCCGGCTTGTGTTACCCCGCTGTAAGCACCTTAACGGCTGTGTGATCCCTGCTGGTGACGCTTTCCAGCGGCGGCGGGCAAGATTACACCGGCTTACAGCGGACGCTCTAACAATTCCCTTGGATGGGCGGTTTAGCATTCCCGATGTGGTACCTATGCATGCTAGCGTATTATTCCCGTCTACATGAACCGAGGAAATCATCTTTCGCTTAGTTGACTTCTCTTTTGCTCGTGATGATGGTCGCGGTGGCAAGTTGACGACTCATTCGACTCTGATGTTCCGACACTGATACCCGTAGATTATTCCTTGGATAAGGTCATTTCCAATTACTGCCCACTACCGAGGAGTCTATACCACTTGCTCTCTTTCACCAAGTCATATGTACCTCCCGAGTCCTGCCGACAACAACCACTTGCATCGAGACGTGCGCCTCACCCCACGCGCGCCCAGCAACGCAAGACAGGACTGGTGTTCTTGAGATATAGCATTAGGAACTTGGACCAGACAAGGCCAACTGGAAAGAGGATTGGGACATACGATCAAAGAGCAGTCAAGGAAATATAATGGCCGACGAACAAGATGGACGCGACGATAGCCCGGCTCAGGTCGAGGACTCGGCGCCCGATCTGCGCATTTTGGGTGACCGTATCACTTTACAGCCCAGCGGCTTTGTGGCGCCCTCCAAGGGTAGCCCAGGCGACGAGAAGGAGGAGGCTTTGATGAAGAACATGGCTCGCTTTCGCTCCGAGCCGCTACAGTAAGTTATCTGTTAAGAGGGTGTGCTTTGGTCAAGGAAATCCTACCACTAACACAGCTGTCCAGATTCCTCCGCGAAGTCTCCCTCTACGTCTCGGGCACAGGCTGGCGCGCCTACGACGATGTCATCGGCCAGCCCGTCTTCTACCCAGGCTATACCGAACACATCAAGTCTCAGGTTATGTCGGCGACCCTATTGCAGGCCAAAATCGCACAACTGGCTGAAATGCGCTTGGCAGTCGAGGAAAAGCAGGGGCTACTCAACAAAAACGACAGGAACTTCGAAACCAAGCGCAACCAGCGTCGCTCTGTACTTGTCCAGAGTCTCCAAGAGGTTGCAGAGCAGCTCACGGACAACATGGTGTGCAAGATGGAGAGCAAGACCTTCATCAGAGGTGCTTACTACATGGTCACTCAACTGTTGTTGAGAGCCTACCATCAAGGCATTCACGTCTCGAGCGAAGAGGTGCTGAGGTTGCGCAATGTGGCTCGGGAAGCGGAGAAGAAAGGACAGAGCATCATCTTTTTACCATGCCATCGATCGCATGTCGATTATGTTGCTTCACAGTTGCTCTGCTACAGACTCGGCTTGACAATGCCTGTCGTTGTTGCTGGTGACAACTTGAACTTTCCGCTGGTAGGAAACTTCTTGCAACATGCCGGTAGGTCACGCGTTTCCAAGATGCTCCCTATCAGACATCCACCCTAACCGCTAAAACAGGCGCCATGTTTATCCGTCGTTCCTTTGGCGATGACCAACTCTATACAACTCTGGTACAAGCCTACATTGATGTTCTTCTCCAGGGCGGTTACAACTTTGAGTGCTTCATCGAAGGCGGTCGTTCACGTACGGGCAAGCTGCTCCCGCCCAAGTTCGGCATTCTCAGCTTTATCCTCGACAGTATCCTATCCGGCCGCGTCCAAGACACCGTCATCTGCCCCGTATCATACCAATACGACAAGGTGGTGGAAACAGAGGGCTACGTGACCGAGCTGCTGGGCGTACCCAAGAAGAAGGAAAACCTGGCAGACTTCCTTAGTGGCGGATCAAGTGTATTGTCACTGCGCCTCGGCAGGGTTGACGTGCGTTTCCATGAGCCATGGAGCCTACGGGGGTTCATTGATGAACAGGTCATCAGGCTGTCCAAGGTACCATCTAGCATTAACTGGAAGGACATGAAGAACCCCATTGTGCGGCAGAAGCTGCTCCGAACCCTTGGGTATAAGGTCTTGGCGGATATCAACGACGTCTCGGTGGTGATGCCGACCGCCTTGATCGGTACCGTTTTACTTACCCTACGCGGCCGTGGTGTTGGCCGTGCTGAACTGATCCGCCGTGTCGAGTGGTTGACGGCCCGCGTCCGTGCCAAGGGTGGACGTGTCGCCCATTTCGGAAACACGCCGGTCTCAGATGTGATTGAGCGTGGTCTGGAGGTTCTCGGAAAGGACTTGGTTGGTGTGGTCGAGGGTCTGGCGGAAACTACTTACTACGCCGTTGACCGGTTCCAGCTCTCCTTCTACCGAAACATGACTATCCACCTATTCATCTCCGAAGCGCTAGTTGCTGCGGCTCTCTATACGCGCGTCAAGCGTGGTGGCGGACCGGCCATCCAGGACATCCCATACCAAGACCTGCACAACCAAGTACTCTTTCTGTCGTCGCTCTTCCGCGGCGAATTCATCTACTCGGGCGAGGGTCTGGCTGTCAACTTGGAGAAGACGCTCATGGGGTTAGAGGCAGATAATGTCGTCTTCCTAGAAAGGGATGAGCTCACAGGCGCGATCACCAAGGTCGGGCTGTCGGATGCCGAGCGCGCGGCGGGCAGAGAGAACTACGACTTCTACTGCTTTCTCATCTGGCCCTTTATCGAGGCAAGCTGGCTTGCTTCAGTGTCGATTATGGGGTTGACGCCTCCGTTAGGTCAGAAGGATGATATCTGGATCCAGTTTTCAAAGGCACAGGAAAGTGCACAACTAGTAGGTCACTCTGATTTTCTGCGAATTGCGGCACTTGTGTTTCAACATCAACTAACAATTTACTCTTCAGCTCGGCAAAACCCTCTACCACCAAGGCGACCTCTCCTATTTCGAAGCCGTCAACAAAGAAACGCTCAAGAACTCGTACCAGCGCTTCGAAGAAGAAGGCATCATCCAAGTCGTCAAGTCCAAAGACCCCAAGGTTCCTCCGCGCATGCGTGTTGCACCCGAATGGCGGCCCGCCAGAGATGAGATCTCGGGCGTGCTCATCGCCTCCGGGCGTCTGTGGGATTTCACCGAGAAGATCGCGTCCAGCAGGCGAGAAGGCAAGAACAGACGTGATGGCGCCACGGTGAGTACCAGGGTGGTCAGGTTGACGGACGATTTGGGCCAGAAGCTGTTCGAGGAAGCGATTGCGGGCACGGATGGTGGCAAGAAAGGGAAAGGAAAGGGCAAAGGAAAGGGCAAGGGAGCGGCACCGGCGAGGTTGAGTAGGGAAGAGGAAAAGATCTTGACGGCGGATTTGAAGGAGAGTAAGAGGAGGAGGACGCTGGAGAATCGGGCGCATTTGTGAGGGAGGGTTGGTGGAGGGTCTGAGAAATCATGATACAGTACATGACGAGGAGGTAAACAAGATAACAGAGAAGCTCATGCAAAATCGGAATAAGAATTCTGAGACTAGTGTATGTGATCTTGTTCTTCCCATTGTGGTCGTCAACTTCTTACCTTGGCTTGATGCCCTGGTCCTTGGTTGAATGTTCCCTTGCTTGTGGCTTCATCGCAGTGCCTGGAACTAGCTCACGCTTAGCGCAATTGCACTAACATTTACACTATCCAGCTACGAATAGGGCGGAAATTAAAGTCTTGGCGCTAACGACAGCACATGTGAGGTATGAAGTTATGGGCCTTAACAATTTATGACGCCCATCGTGCCTGTCCACCAAAGGAATGTTCGGATTGTTTCCGCCTGCAGATTCGCATCTTTGCGTTTTGCATCACCAACCTCGAACCTCAAACCTCCAAACCCCGGCGTCTCGCCAACCTGCAGCATCAGAGTATTACAACCTTTGCGGCCTTTGTTGAAATGGCGGTCGAGGGCCGACCTCCAACACCCAAGTCGATCCTCCGGGGTCACAAGGCGCAGGTACATGCCGCCACCTTCATCCGCAACAATGAGCGCCTCGTCACTGGTGATGCCGATGGTTTCGTCATTGCCTGGGACCTGACCATCATGAGGCCTCGCGCGGTATGGCAGGCTCATGATAACGCCATCCTAGGAATTGCTGGATGGGGTAACGACCGCATCATAACCCATGGTAGGGACAACAAGCTCATCATCTGGAAGCTCACCGGCGATGATGAGGCCCGGATGAGTACGACTCTTCCACTCGACCCATGCACAGAACCGCGTCCAAAGCCATGGATCTTGCATCTCCTGGAAGTCAACACCATGAACTTCTGCTCTTTCTCATACTGTCCTGTCTCGGCTCCTGTACTACCAGGTCAGCAGGAAGGCCAAAGTCAAGATACAGCAGAAGAGTCAAGGTCGGAGTCTGAGCTACTCATCGCAGTCCCCAACACGCTGGCGTCCGAAGCGGTAATTACGACCGATGAAGAAACCCTCTCTCTCCTCCGAAAACCCGCTGACTCCTACAGATTGACATCTTTCATCTCCCTTCCCAGACGCGCCGCCATACTGTCAAGTTGGGCGATAAGAACGGCATGGTCATGGCTGTGGCACTGTTCAACCAGGCAGGCTCTTTAACCTTGGTAGCTGGGTATGAAAATGGCCTCGCCATAGTAGCTCATCGGGATCCCGTCAAGAACGACTGGGTACCTCTCTACCAAGCAACCTGTCATTCTCAACCTATCCTGTCGTTGTCTGTTTCTCCTGCCCGGGATTTCTTCCTCACGTCAAGCGCAGATGCAGTCATTGCTAAGCACCCCTTGCCTCCTGTGGTCTCACAGAACTCAACATCGACACACGTCACAACGACTCAGGCCGATCAAGTGTCTGAGAGTGAGGAGAGCAACAGATCTGTCAACGCAGGGGACAAAGCCGCTGGAAAGTCTCTGCTTGGTGCGGCCTTGGCTAAAGCAAAGCAGAATCCTCCATCGCAACCGAAACCAACACTCCAGCCCGAAGAAGTACTAACCCATCCGCTGAAGACCGTCAACACAAAACATGCAGGACAGCAAAGCATCGAAATCCGCTCTGATGGCCTGATCTTTGCCACTGCTGGCTGGGATAGCAAGATCCGCGTTTATTCCACAAAGACGCTCAAAGAGGTTGCCGTCCTGAAATGGCACCAAGTTGGATGCTACGCTGTTGCTTTCGCCAATATTGCACCAAACACTGGTGCTCCATCAATTAACGACCAGAATCCAAAGGCAACCGTATCGACGACTGGTACCCAACCGGCTAGGTCCGATTCCCTGGGCCATGGAACCCAAAAACCAAACATGGACAAGCGCCTCACCGTCGTACCGAAGCTTGTCGAATTGACAGTCAGAGATAAGCGTCTCAGACAGGCAAAGGCGGCACATTGGCTGGCTGCTGGAAGCAAGGACGGAAAGGTCAGTCTCTGGGATGTCTTCTAGACGTTCGATGCGGCCGCGGCAACGTGGAATTAAGTATCTTGGGAGCACGTAAGCAGCAAAGATTGCATCTTCACTCCTGTCATCCCGGTCGTGGAGCAAAGACGGGAAGCAGCATCAATCGAGGTCAACATAAATGACCCCATTTCAGTCTGTGTAATAGACGTTGAGTGTCCGTGATGCCGGGGGAGGAGGTTTCACTTGACAACCACACTGCCATGCTCCGTATATGTTCCAGAATTCCTCAGGCTTGGCAAGCGAGCTCGTGACTCGGTGTAGGTTCGCAGGAGATCATGCCCTTGGCGCCATTCCAATTTCATGCTCGGCAACTCAAGCCGATGCACTTCTCTGACACAGGCCTGACAGGGTTCCCCAACCCGGTCCGGGTAGCGGGCGTTCCAGATCCCGATCAGCCCCTTCTCATGGCTGGTTCCCCAAACAGGAAACTATTGTGCAATTCGAGAGTGGTGATAGGCCAGCCGGACAGGACTCCATCGGCCCCTACGACGCCATCTGTCGGCAAGTCACGTTCTATCGATGCGAAATCTTGACGCCGACAAGCTGAAATCGGAATGAAAAGCCATACCGCGATGCCACAGATCTGGCCAGCCAACTAGCTCTTGTCATGGCGTCCCTCGGGTCCAAGCAGGGCAGTCATGAAGCCTCTATTGCCCCAGCCATCCTTGCAAAGGCTCCTGTTGTACTCCTGCCTGTAACCAGCCCAGCACATGAACATAACACCATTTTCCAAGACATGCATACTCTCATCTTGGCTTGCATTGGAGCAAATGGGCATATGGTTCCCCTTGTGCCATCCGGATAGTCGTCAGAGAGTTACAGATTCAACCAAGTTGTGCCCCCAGCCAGTATCACTGCTTCCACATAGGCGCCCTTCATCAAAGCCCTTGCTCACATTGGCATATCCATGTCCCTCAAGAGCGCTATGTCTTGTGTGTCTCGACAATTCTTACCTCTTCTACTAGGCTTTCCCCTGAAAGAAATCCGGACGCCTCGACCGGAGTTGCTTTATCGACCCAAAACGCAGCATCACTTCCGAGGCATCCACTTTACTTTACCTCTCCCTGTTCCCAGATTACATGTATTGGCGAGCCTTCGGCTGCCTGCCTGTTATTTTCTTTCCACGGATCTCGATCGGGAGACGCCGCGGCCCGACTTTCGCAAGTTCTGAGCTGTCCCCTTGATCACGGTTGCCGTGTTTCTAGAACAGATCTATCACCTCTTCGACACCGAGACACGCTTCGTGGCGTTGCCTTTGCGGCCCCTGCTGCGTTGAACATCCTTGCAGACGTAGGTGGTCCGGGTCTAGGTTCAGAAAACAAAAAAAATGAATCCAGGCGTCCAACATCCAAAAATACACACAAATCAATGGATTGTTGAACGGCATCGTGCCTTACCGCCGCCATCATCAGTCCATCTTGCTGCACTCGATGATCACTCACAGTCTTATTCTGCCGTCACCGACTCAAACCCGACTAGTGGTGGCCCTTACGAGGTGTCGCCAGCGAAACGGGTAAGGATATCAGGCGTTCTAGCATCCTCAACCGCAGGCTGGGGCACGGGTCAACAGCATGGCCAAGCTCATGATGCAGAAGTAGGGCCTTTCACTGAAACGGGCCCTAGAGCTCCCAAGTCCACTTACCGTGAGAAGAATGGCGATATCACGGTGAAAAAGTCCAACGCAATACCGCAAAGCGGCAGCACGAGCAGCAGTGTCAACACTAACAACAAGTCTCGCCGGGTCCGCACTGGGTGTCTAACCTGCCGTGGCCGCCACCTCAAGTGCGATGAAGCCTTCCCGGAATGCAACAACTGCCGAAAGAGTTGTCGTGAATGCAAACGGGGTCTACGCCTGAACTTCATCGATACCCGAGTCAAAAGTCCGCCATTTGTGCCGCCTACGTTGGAGTGGTCAGGTAGGCCGATCCATTCAAAAATCCAAGAATTCGGTGCCGGTACCGGAAGGCTGCATAACTGCATGGAAGATGCTGACACAAGGGTTACTACAGTACAATTTCATGACGAGTCGCGGCTGATTGCGTCGGAGTATCAGGGTGGATTGGGACGCTATCCCCGGCTGGATCAGAACACCGCCGTCACGCCGCCTCATGAGACAGAACTGAATGCCACGCTCCGTGTTGTCGCTCAGAAACAGGATGCCGGTGACGGCAAGACCTACCACCCGGACAACGACGTCACTCCGGGCCTTGGTGAACAGGATGTGGTCGACAAAGGCAGTGATGCTGCTGGCTTGATAATAAGACTCTCCCCTAACCAGCCCATTTACGATGGAAATCAGTTATTCCAACCCCAAGATCTGCACCTGCGGAATGACAGCGACGGTCCTTTTACGATGCGGGTCAAGATCTCACAAGTAAGCACAATGTATTGTTAGTATCATCATCCAGAGTGCACTTTTACTGACGGAAATTTAACAGCATCACACAGCAAAGGGTGGCTGGGCTTCACAAGCCCAAGGATACAGGAGGAGCGAGGTATCAGCGAGTGCGGTGCCTTCTTTTTCCCAGTATGGCCATCAAAGTCAGTCTGCACGGCAAAGCGTTCCAATGACGACCTACGGGCTGCAAACCAGCCAAACCCAGCACGCGCCCGAAGCCATGTCAGAAAATTCGACCGCCAGGACTACCCCGTCAAAGAAAACAACTGTCGAACGGGACTATCTCAGCACGGATTCCGAAATTCATCTTATGCAAGTGTTCATTAGCGAAGTCGCCCCTTGGATGGACATCCTTAGTAAAGGCAAGCATTTCGCCAACACGATGCCCGACCTAGCCCTCAAATCACCCATGCTTCTCAATGCTCTCCTAGCCTGTGGCACCATGCACCTCTCCCTGACACAACGACAACAACAACAACAAGAACAACAATCTTCTTCCCAGCCTTCCGGTATCAGCACTATCAACAAAGCCTGTTCGTACTACGATCTCGCAATGATGGAGCTCTTGCATAACCTCGAGCAGACTGGCTCACCATCGGACCGCAATGCAGCCGAGTGTGCCACCGCGGCTACTGTGCTCAACGCGTACGACATTATGAACAGCGGCGGGAACCCGTCCCCATCCCCGTTCCCGTTCCCGTTATCGAGATCGCAGCAGCAGCAGCGGGTAGCAATAGATTACCACATCGCCGGCTGCGCCAGGGCGCTGGTAAAGGAATGCCGGTGGAACGCGAACTCGGCGTCAGCGGCGGGGACTGGTGTGGGGGAAGCTTGTTTTTGGTTCAACGGGTGCATGGAGGTGCTCAGCTGTTTGCAGCCGGCGCTGGTGATGATGAACTCGTGGCAGCAGACCCCAACTGTTTGGGATCCCGATCAGTGGGGGCTGGATGTGAATGTTGACCGATGGGCGACTGCTGCGAATAGTACGGCGGTTACGGGGAACGACAGTGATCTGAAAATAATTGAAAATGATGACCAGTCGCCCTTTGGGCTTCGTCGGCTCGGTGCTTCGGGCGGTGGGGGATACGGCACTGGCAACGGCAGCGGAGAGGAAGAGCTTTGGGCGCAACGCATCCTCTACGTCCTCGCCAAGGTTGTTAACTTTTGCTCTGCAAACAACAACAGCGTGTCACGATACCAAGAAACCTCGCCTCACGACGAACAGATGCGTCTCCAGAGGCGATTCACGGAGTGGAAGAGCCTCAATGACATGTGCGACACCTGGAGAAGTAATTGTCCGCGATCAATGCGGCCGTATGGATATGTTCGCTCGTTCTCGAGCGGGTCGTTGTTTCCTAATGTCTGGTAAGCTTCATCTCTCTACCCATTTCCATGCGTAAGATAAAATGACTGACAGGCCTCGTTGTTTTAAAGGCTCATCAAACGCCCTGCCCTCATCGCCCGCCTCTTCTACCACGTAGCCATGTGCATCCTCGCCCAAGTAAACCCCGTCAGTCCGCGCGATAGCGACGCCAACCGCGAGCTTCAGCAACATCACGCTCGGCAGGTGTGCGGTATTGCCGCGCATAACAAAGATCGTGCCGTGGCGTCGATAGTGACTCGCTGCGTTGCGACCGTGGGCGGTGTGCTATCTGATCGAGCTGAGCAGACTGAGGCATTGGCTATCCTGGAGAGGATCAGCACCGAGGCTGGGTGGAGGTTGGGTAGCTTGGTGACTGATATGAAGAGGGCTTGGAGCTGGGGAGTTGTTGAGATGCCAAATGGTGGTGGTGGTGGTGGTACAAATGCTGCCAACGGGAACAACAATAGAGGAGGAGGAGTAGAAGGAGGAAAATCCTTTGCTTCGGCTCTACTTGGTGCTGGCGGTCTGACCTCGGCGACCGGGCAGACAACAATGGAATTACCGCTTCCTTTGCCTTTGAGACCGCCTTCTATATTACAGCTTTTTGGTGCGTCGTCGCAAACTCAGCAACATCAGGAACAACAGGCGCCAACTACCCGAACTTCTCCCACAGCGGCAGCAACTACGTACTCCAACTCGTCTACTATACCTAATTTGACGACTGTTCAACCAACTCTTACTATTACTCCCTCGAGCAGCCGACACCAGACGCATCAGACGCATCACACTCATCCGACACACCAAAGCAGACCTAGTCCGCCTTCTTCGGCTGTGGGCGTTAGTCAACAAGCATATCAGGGATGGTACCACCAGGCCCCTTCGCCTACAAGGTCAGGCAACATGAGTTCACAGCAGATGGGAGGGGCAGGAGGCTCTTCTTCTCTTAGATGGGGTTGAAATCCCGTGGACATGATCTCCACAAAGACGTTTCGCTATGGTAAACTTCTCCAAGTTCCCTGTCACCACGAAGATTTCGCTCCACGTTTTGTTGCATTCGGTCAAATTGCGAGGCTACTTGCTCAGAATTTCGAGGTCCGAAAGAAGTATTTAATAATCATATTCAACAACCCGCACATTCCATCAATAATAAAATCCACCACCATCAAAAAAAAGACGGCTCCTGGTCCATGGAAGGCAACCAGTGTCACGCCAACTCGAAGAAGCGAAGATAACCAACTCATCATCCCATCTCAGCACTTTCATGATCGCCCCTTTCTGAGCCCCTGTGACAGAGAACTTTTAGGCCTTGGTGGTTTGAGGAACATAGCCCTCAACCTTGTCGACAACTGCCTTCTCGGGGGCGATAGCGTCAAGGACAACCTCGCCGGCATCGTTGGCGGCGATGTTAAGGCACGAGATCAGGCAGCCCGGGCAGGCGAGAGGGGTGGCGGTGCACACAGAGGTGAGGCAATTGACGATGCAAGGCTCCTGGGGGGTGGATGTCAGTGACAAGAATTCAATCATAGGAGTTAGGGAGGTAGGCAAGGTAGGTTGGCGTTGGGGCTTGGGAGGAGGATGGGGATGTCGTACAGGCAGGACTTGCTATAGTGAGATTACTTTGTTAGCAAGCTGAACCGCTGTTTACTACACATGTGGTCAAGAAGGGAGAGCGGGAGGGGGGAACTTACGCGCTGCTGAAGGCCATTGATGGACTGGTCCATGCGGGCGGCAGGGGATGCCATGGCCAGGCCGGCGAGGGCGGAGGTGAGGACGGTGGTGAAGAGCATTGTGTAGGGTAGGTTTTGATTTTGGTGGCAGGTAGAGTGCTTGACGGTTGATGGTTGATGAGGAAATGTGGATGTGAAGGATGATGGTTTTTTTTCTGGTCAGAGTCTAGGAAGCTTGCTCCTCTTTATAGATGTTCATTGTCAGAGAAAGGTCGTCTCCACGGTCACCGTCGCCTCCACGGTTATCGTCACCCCCACGGTCATCCACCCAGTCCAAGAAATTTCTTGCTCAACGAGGTAGCCCTTGGAAGACCGGTGTGATATTGGAATTGACTCGACTGCGTCGATCTGCATCCTGTCCTAACTCATCCATCAATGGAACAGTAAGAGCGGCACAACAATCATCCTCCATCCCCCCCTTTGGAGCCTGGTGGTTGTCTATTCCAGCTCTGCCATCATCGACATAATCGGCGATCCTTTCTTGTTTTCGAGCCAGGTGGTGAACGTGGTTGTTGAACAAGCTCTAACTGGTTACCTTACCTTGACCAGGACCTACCTTACGTCTACTTGCCTTACATACAGTACCTACCTTCCTACCTAGGCACATTGGATACATAGGATTCGTTCCATAGCGCGCCACCTGGGTTGTAGAAAAGAATCTCTGGGATGTTCTTGCAACTGGAAGATACATTTCAGGACGATTCTTAGACGAAAATGATCCATGGATCAGTTTGAGACGACAAGACCATCTCCAGGATAACTTTAAACCGTCTTTAAGACCCAAATGTTCTACGCTGGCAAAATCGCCTACTATGAACATGACGTCAAGAAGAATCTCATGAGTAAAATACTTATATCATACAGTAATACAACGAAATGACCATGACTAATATCGCTTTACGTAACAAGAACATCCCTACCCCCAGGCGTTGATTTTTCAGGATGGAACTGATCTATGGACAAGTTTCAATACAAAATCATACACTTCACTGGAAAATTTTACAACTATTGGACAATCCCGGAGATCCTTTTCTTGACAACCCGAGTAGCGCGCTTTGATTGAGAATGAGAGGCAATTATCTCCAATTCACCAGGCTCTAAGCAACCACAGAGCATATGCATAGGTAGCCTTTCTCTACCAATGCACATCAATGACACTCAGTTGTTGTTCCACTCTTTGCCAACATTGATCGGCGCGGGAAGCACACAACCTGCATGTGTCAAAATGGTTCTATTGAATCCGGGGGCCGTCCCGCAACCCGCAGCGGCCCGTAGGTTGCATCCGGGGAGTCGTAACCAAAGACTCACGACTACTACCTTGGCAGAGCGGCACAGACCTTGACGAGGTCGAGTCCTTGCATCAATATCTATGCTTGTCAGCCTTCACTAGTGTACAACGCGTAGGGATCTTGTGTCTTTACGCTAAATGTTGTCACGTTCCTTCAAAATGTTGCCACTTTCCTTGATGCTGGCTGGTTGGAGGGGATCCAAAAACGCAGCACAATGCAAAGCCGGAAACACGGCAAGGCAGCCTCACTTGATGCCTTCGTCCCTAGAGGTAGCTACTCTCAGCAGCAGTTAACGAAGCCCAGTTGTTGGTTGAGAGGCTGAGACGGAGTGTGATTGACTAACACAAATGAGACGCTCCTGCTACCGGTGCCCTCCAAGATCTACGGCGATAGCATGTAGAGCAGCTCGTATTCATCCTTCAACCTCTGTTCCCCTCCAAAATGTGACAGTGTTTGTTGAGCTAGCTGAGCTCCTAATCAAGAGGTTTCGAGACTCCTCGGGAGTCGTCCAACCAAAAGCATTGCTTATCTCAAGTCCTTAGCAAGTCAAAGGTTGAGGCTACACGTAATCTAAAGTCTTCCCATTACCACATGATTGCAACCAGACATCAGGCTCAGCCCATCGCAAGTCTGATACCACCTTTACAGCCCAACGCTCAATATCGAGTCCCCGGCAGACGCCAAGATGCGAGCGACACTGGTGGCCGTTCTCTGCCACCTCTCTCTGGCCTTTGCACTGGCCGACGAACGGACAGTGCTAAGAGCGGCCATCTCGCCAGCGACCCCGCACTGGAAGAGGAGTGCAAGACTTGCTAGTGACCAGGTTATCCCCATCGACCTGGCACTTGCTGTCGATCAAGACATCTCTGGCACAGCGACCCAGGCCCTCAAGAGTATCTCACACCCTGACTCGCCCAGCTTTGGACAACACTGGACTCCAAACAGGATCGCCTAGTTCTTTGCGCCAGCCAGGGAAAGCATCCGCCAAGTGGGGAGATGGCTCAACAGCTCTGGAGTGCCGCGGTCGGCCATGCGTCTGTCTAGGGACGGCACCTTCTGGTCGTTTAACGTCAGCGTGGGGCAAGCCGAGCAGCTGCTGGGAGCCTAATTCCATCTGTACCGCCATCTTAACGGTACAACAACGCAGACGGCGTCGGAGCGGTACTCGTTGCCGGCACGTGTGGCCAGGTACATCGACTATGTCCTACCCGTTCCGGACCCGGACCCGGTCTCGTCGGCGCCCAAGTCTTGCAGTGCAGGACCCGCCGACGCCCAAGGCGGAATAGGCGCACGCCAGATGCGCGACGTCGACTGCCTGCAATATATTGCGCCGCAGTGCCTCCGGCAGCTGTACAACATGGATCACGGCGCCGGCCAGACAGCTCACCCCAACAACTCGCTGGGCGTATATACGCCTTCCTACAGCGCGTGGCTGGCCGAAGACCTTGACATGTTCTTCGGCGACTTCGCCCGGGACCTGGTCGGCCAGCGGCCCGACTTCATGTCCATCGCGGGCGGGACGCGCCAGACCGAGTACAAGTTGACCAACTTCAACCTCGAGCCCAACCTGGACTATGAGTACACCATGGCCATGGCCAAGCCGATCCCCGTGACCAACATCCAGGTGGGCGACTTGGTGGTGCAGGGCAACCTCAACATCATGCTGGCCGCCTTCAATGCGCACTACTGCCGCACCGGCCTGGACCCGTAGTTCGACCCCGTGTACCCGGACCCGGCGCCGGGGGGTTACAACGCCAGCGACTGCGGCACGCACGTCCCGCCGCGTGTCATCGCCATCATGTACGCATGGAACGAGGCCTGGTACTCGGACGCGTACGCCCGCCGCCAGTGCCTCGAGTCCCTCAAGCTGGGCCTGCAGGGCGTGACGGAGCTGACGGGCTCAGCCGACCGCGGGCCCGCCAACCAGCTGACCTACTGTATCGACCATGAGAACCCTAAGAACAGCACGGCCAGCGAGGGGTCCTTTGCGTCCGTCTTCCCCGCCTCATGTCCGTGGGTCACGTCGGTCGGCGGCACGCAATTGCTGCCCGTCGTCTCCAACGGCAGGAGCACCACGACGGCTACTAGTGGCGTGCCGTCGCCGTCGTCGTTCCCAGGCGAGACGGCGCTCGACGACAACAATACCGTGTCGTCCGGCGGCGGCTTCAGTTGCCTCTTCCCCGCACCGTGGTACCAGGGTAACCTGACGCGCGAGTACCTGGCCTCCGCGCCGGGCGCCGCCGAGCTAGCGCGACAGGGCTACTTCAACGGCTCGGGCAGGGGCCACCCGGACATCTCGGCCATGGCGCGGAGCTTTCTAGTCGCGCTGCATGGCGGGTACCGCGCTGTGTCGGGTGCGGCGTCGGCGAGGCGTTCCCCGCCAGGCGGGCGTGGGATGCTGTGACTGGGTTAGGAACGCCAGACTTTGATGAGAAGCTGAAGGAGTTGTACCTCGGTTTGCCATGAAGTTGGCTCGGTTGGGTAGACTTGGAAGAGACCTGTTGGACGGTCGTTTCTTGATGGGTGGTGGGCCGTGGGCGGGGGAGTGGGCAGTTCAAGATTTGCTTCCAGCCTGCATGTACATATGTAGTTAGCGAAAGTCCAGGTACCTGGTTGTGTCATGTACCTCACCATGTGCCCACGGGCTTGTTGGTACTTTGTAAACGAGCTTCTGGCCAATAGGCAGAATGCTTGCCCGTCCTGTGCCACACTGCTATGTACATGCAACCAGAGGGGTAACTCTAGCATAGAAAGTAGAGTGCTCAGCACCCTCCCACGGCAGCTTGACCTCGTGTCGCCTTCTTTTATTTCTCGCTAGTTTCTTGCCATCTTTTATCCCTGTCACGTCCTCCCATCCGCCTGATTCTCCCTACGCTCCCCTAGCCATCTGCTGCAAACCCCCTTGACAACATGAGTGCCCCGACAATCAGCGACGCGGCAAAGTCTGAACAAAAGCTGCCTTCGCGCGAGGAGCAGCTAGCCACAATGAACGCGCGGGTGGAGGAGTTTCAAAAGCAAAACCCCTCGGCCGATCTCAAGCTCGAACAGAAGTGGTGGGTGCCGAGCCTGGATTTCGGCAACTTATTGCAGGTAAGGAATGCCCCCTTCTTCTTCTTCCCGTGATGAACCTGTGGTACCGCACAATCAGGACGCTGACGTGGAATTCAGGATGCTCTTCCACAAGAAATCAACGCCGAACTCGGCGCCATCTTTGCAAAGCTCTTCCAGGACAAGTTTGCCCCCGAGGCCGTGGCCAAGGCACGCAAACAGTCGAGGGAACTGCTCCATACAGAGTATCCCCAGGTGCTAGAGAGAGTGGAGGAGATGGTGTTTAAGAATGAGGCGCAGCTTGCCGAGTTGCACCGCCATCTGCAGGGGGTTGACTCGATCGGATGTGCGGGCGGAAACTGCTGAGACCAGCTTAGACCTCGACGCTTCTCTCTTTCATAACCTCCTTTTGATCCGGACCGTCCAACAAGAATATACCGGGGTTTCTCATCTCACCTAGACAGTCATGTAATAATTACCCTGTCGCCTCGTCCCACTCAAGTAATGCCTCAGCCTCTATCGCGTCTACTCTGACCACCACCTGCCGCCACAGACTGATCCCATAAAACCCGGACAGCAGCGAGTAGCCACCAAGGTACATGGATACACCTCACCCTTCTCTTTGTCTGTTTCTTCCCCCCGTCTGCTTCGGACCCGGCGAGATCGATCCGGCAGAAGAAAGCGTCTTTGACGGACGGCATGGACGGGATCTCGAGGCCGAGGCGGCAAATGGCGTGGGAGCGGGAGGAGCTGTCGTTTGAGAGAGATGCGGCAGCCTCGATGTACCCCACCCGGACAGCGGCATCTTTTCGGTGACCTGGTGGTCGAGGGCGCTGGTCAGCTGGGTGATGCCGAAGGAATCTTCGCTTGCGAAGGTCTGTGAAGGGATTAAAATCAGCAATTGTTCACTTGGCAGGGACATCGAAAGTGGAGTCGGTTGGCTGGCGAAGCGGATCCACCTCACCGATGTCCCCTGCAGATTTCACGCTACGATAAGAAGAAGCCTTTATCCCATGTCATATTCCAAGTTCCCAACCCATCCCGACAAGGAGGAAATCAATCCCATTAGGATGACCAGACGGTTGCTGTTGCAATAGACACAAGTGAGGTTGATGGACTGAGGCACGTAAAGTGCATGCGAAGTGGCAGGCTTCCGAGCCGTGTAGATGTCATTGCCGTTGGTACATAGAGGTAGCATTCCCGTCGATACCTCTTTCAGGGTTTGGGTAATGGTGGTGGAGGGGTGGTAGGCTTTAAAATAGTAGTAGGGTGGTGCCATAAGTGTTTTGGTGATGATCCTGATGGGAAAAAGAAAAGGACAATGGAATTTACTGAACTACCCATGGAGAAGGAGTGGGAGCACGGGCCACAAGAATTACTCTGACAGAAACGTCAAAGCGCAAAAGGTACCTAATCGCCGACTCTTGTAGGTCGTAATTGGGGATGTAGATGTGTGTTCTTGGAATAATGGATAATACAGTTGGACTGGCTACCTCTGGGTACCTCTACTGTTGCTGATTCTCGTTGCTTTGATTCCATGCAGAGAAACCGGACGGGTGTTCTGGAGAGGTGAGATTAAGAATAAATGAGGGAGAATTACGCACGACGCGCATCTACAGAAGCGAACGGCCACCTAGGTACAATTCCAGGAGGGGCAGGTCAATGCATCCGTACATATGCGTAGACGGGAGGAGGTACAGACGGGAACAAGACGGGATGGATGGCAAACTGCAGGATGGAAGCAGGAACCAAGACAGCACAAGGGTCCACAATTAGGGCTGACCAATGACATGTTATACACAACTGCCATGGTCTCGTCCACGACAATCTGACTTTCTGAGGACACTCTAGAGTGGTTGTTGTGGTAAACCTCCTACGTCTCTATGGATCATTGTGACAGCTTGGTAATGACCACAAATCCATCTGAACTGTCTGTCTAAAGGTCAAAGCTGTCGTTTTCTCAGTGGAATCTGTCTATAGGAAGGAACAAATTACAGTCTGGTACTTCAGATGGATCAGAACTATTGTAACTACCCTATCACTCCCTCTTTTCGGCTCATGGTGAGTGGTGTCGAGTCACTCTATCCTTCTCTCTAAAACTTATCCTCACAGCCGCTACTTCTTATTCACTACAGTGGACTTGTCAACTGTAGTTCCTCCTTCGTTCAGGTCCCTACCTACCTGAACACCTCCTGGAAGAACCAGAAACTCCCCTGACCCCTGAATGTTCAGGCCTCTTCGGTCTCCTGGCATCGGCATCTTTCGCATAGGCTCACCCTGGGTCTCTAAGGCACTGCAAGTTTAGTGTTCGTAGTGCCTGTAGATGCGAACGAGGCGCCCCTGGGGCCTTCAGATACCCCCCCAATGATGGGGGTCTGATGAGAACTTATGCTGCTTCATAACTGTATACATAGCCTGGGGCCTATCTTATGCATTGTCCAGTCACGTGGTGGTCCTGCACCTTGTTTCATAAACAGTTCTCCCTTCCGTGCGAGCTCGTTCCGCGTTCCTTTCCCCTTTCCTCTAATCACAGAACAACAAAGTTCATCGCACTTTCATCGCACTTTCATCGAAAAGCACTCGCACGCATCGGAAAGCACTAGCTCGCATCGAAATTCATCTGCAGATTCATCTGACACAACTGCTCCTGCCCACAATGAACAACCACAACTTCTCGAATTCTTCCGCGCTCGCCGCGTTGCTTCACGCACTTCTTTCCACCTTCTACGAAGCTGCCATCATGACAATCATCAAACTTGACTCCTTCCTCCTACCTCTCTGGATGTCAACCATCATCTCCATCGACAAAGCCATCGCCTCCACCACCGGCCTGTTTGCCTCTGGCGTTGGTCCTGCCTTCCGACTCTCCACCAACTTCGGCAAAGCGCTTCGGTGGCTGGCTGAGCAACTACTACCAACAACAACAACATCAGAAGAGGAAAGCAACACCACGCAAGAGACCCTCGATTTCCTGGAAAGCAGAATCCGGTACCTCGGCAACTTCTTCGACGCCACCATCGCCTCCATGACCACCACCAAACCTCCCTCCTCACCCAAGCGCGACCACTCGGCCACATCTTCGTTCAACAACACCTCCTCCACCCCTGTCCGTCACACCCCAGTGCGGTCACAGGCATGTTCGGCACAAGACTACGTGCTGGACATGGCGCCATCGGATTGGGACTCGGAAGATGACGGAGCGTAGAACGTTCCTGATTCGGAAGGGCCTGATTTCGAAACCATGTCGGTCTTATCAGACTTCTACCCGTCTGATGATGACATCGACTGGTTGTCAGACCAGATTGTTGCGAGTCCCGCTACGCGGGCTCGTAACACTCGGAGAGCCGCGCGTGCTGCCGCAAGGCGCCGCGCTTCTGACTTGGTGCTGGTGGGAGCTTCGGGGCTCTCCGAAGCAAGGGAGGAGAAGATGCGCGAAGAAAAAGCGTATCTGGTGTGGAAGAGAGGATACGACGAACGCCTGGCCAGGGATATGGCTGCCAGAGCTGTCGAGAAAGCGAAGGAGGAAAAGAGGTTGAAGGCACTAGATGCCCACCTCGAAAAGCAGAAGCAGGCCAGGCTTGCACCTCGAGGCCCGAGAGTGATCCGGGACCCAATTTCGGGGCGCGTGTTCTCCAACTAGAACACCGCCTCTCGCCTCTCGCCCGCCTCCGCTTCTCCGCCACCGCCAACAACTCCTCCGACACTCCATCAACCACCCACCTCACCACTTCTCACTCCTCCTCTTCATCCTCCTCTTGCCTCTTCTCTTCCTTGACCTCAGCAGGCCGCCGCCGCCGCCGCACAAGCTTCTGCTGCTGCTGCTGCTGCTGCTGCTGCTGACGGACACTCGCAAGGTTCGCGACCGCCCGGCAGGAAAAAAACCGCGGTTCGTGACGGATAAGGGGACCAGAGAGACGAGCAGGGGTTTTTGTTGGGTGCGGCGCAGAAAAACAGGCCGCAGGTGGTGTTGAGCGAGGATGATGGTGATGACGACGATGATGGTGATGATGGTGATGGTGATGATGATGATGATGATGATGACGGCGAGTTGGTTGATTTGATCAAGGTATGTCCAGCCTCTCCTATCCGTTGACAAAGAACCCCAGAACTAACCAAACAACAAAGGGATGACGAGGAAGACGACGAGAGACGTACGAGGAGAGCAGGGGGGGGGGGGGGGGGGGGGGGGGGGGAACATATTTATACTTGGGATTGGGTACCACGGGAATCGGGCGTTTTGGAAATTTGACTTTGGGATCGTTTTGTTTGCATACGCACTAGGAAAAGAAATGGGACTTCTTGGGACGGGACGAAAGTTGCTTTTTGGATGAATACAACATGAATACCTCTGCACTATTTCTCGTCTGATCTTTGCCATCCACGTGAATTTGCGTTCCGCTAACTTTTCGTCTGATGACCCTTCCATCCGGTTACACTTCCATCTGGTCTCCTTCCCGTCCCGTCACGTTTCCAGATGCCACGTGGAAGCTAGCGAGGTACCCGCGAATTACATTGTCGATTCGCCCGGCATAATGAACAGGACTGGTTGAACGCAGCTTGAATCCCTTGAACCGGTGATTGAACTTCGTGGCTGTGGGACGATTTCTTTTCTGGTTCGCTTTGACAGCCTAATGGCGAAGCGCTGATGCCACAGGCCGGATCTCGTTGAATTATCGTCGGAAAGGTTGGCGCAACTGGGATCGAGGCAGGGCAACTAAAGCAGGGATAAACCAAGCAGCTTCAGTTAGCTAATGACACGCTCAGTCTGGGGTAGATACAAGAATGAAGACTAGAGGTGGGGAAACATAGCTGGTGATCGCTAACCCGCGGGCATATTGGACTGAAAACCTTTTTGTTACTTGTTGCGCTGCAGATACATGAGTCGTATATGTTTATCATCGCTTTGTCGCGGATAGAATTTGGAAGCCATAATAGACCTTTGAGGGATAGTAAATGAAACGGAGAGCAACGTAAATGGCGGTAAATGGAACCGAGTTGTTCGTATTCGAGTGGTTGTCCGACGTCACCGTCGATATGACGTTGGGTTCAGCAAAGAGACTTCAGTTTGCGTTAATTGTGCAAAAGACTCGAGCTTGGAACATGCGGGTTACTCATCAGAACCAGTCAGTCTAGACGGGAGGTACCTACGACACACGAAGTGGGTATTCATGTGCTAAAGAATAGCTCGCCAGCACCGTTCTTTCCTTCTGATAAATTGTCCTCATAGCACCCAACGGTCTACTGTAGTCAGCCCTGGACTTTGTTGCTCAAAACATCTTCGGTCACAGACCGAACTAACACCACAACTAAGCAGCTTTTACGACGACAACGACAACTATGGGCAAAGCTAGGTATATACGAACAAACACACACATACCCCGATCTCCCAACTTCCCGAGACCAGCTGTCGAACACTCTACGGAACTCCCACCTACTACACAAATACCGACCATTCCGCCGCCATAATAATCATTGTAGAGAGCCCCGG